CGCAGGTGGGTGAGAGAATTTGCCAGAGCGGGGCGCAGAACAGGCAGACTGACGAAATACACTGCTGAGGGGAGCAGCAGCCACGGCAGGAGAGGTCTGCGCACCATGTGGGACCCTCGCAGGTGGCTGGGGATCGAACCGGCGCTGCAGAGGCTGTGGGCAGCTTTGCAGCCCAGTGCTCAACCGCTGCACCACCGGGGAGGCCCTGGTCTGTCATTCTTTCTGAAGACATGTTTTAGGGCCACTCTGCAAGCCCCATATTCTGTGGGTTCCCAGAATCCAGAGGAGCCACAGGCGGGGCTTGCTAGGGCTGTTTTAGAATCTGCATAGTCTAGAACAGCAATTCTCAAGGCGGGGGCCCTGGACCCAACAGTATCAGCACCCCAGGAGCTTATTAGAAAGGCTGACTTCCCTGGCCTGCCCCAGCCCACTCCATCCAAGGCTTCAGGGAGAGCAGTCCAGCTGTTGGGGGCAGGGGTCACAGGCCCTCCAGGAGGTTCTGCAGCTGCTCAAGAACAGGAGGTGGGGGGCAGTGGGCCAGGACAGTTCTCGGTCCTGCTGCTGCTTATTGAAGTCACATAGGAGCTTTTAAAGCACCACTGCCGCCTGGCTACAGCTGAGCTGAGGAGGCCAGACTCTGGAAGTCGCAGGCCTCTGTAATGGTCAAAGCTCCCTGGGATTCCCCTGTGCTGGGATTCCCCCGTGCAGGCGCAGTTGAGGACTGGTGGTCCCCCAGGCTTCGATTATCAGAGTGCCAGTGATTGGCATCTGCCATTCCACAGAGGGGGAGGGAGGCTGCATTGGACTTCCCATGTGGACAAGCTCTTCAGTTTGGTTCCCTTTCTTTCTTCTGGACAGTGCAGTTGTGCACATGTGTATGTGGCTAAGAAGGTTCCTTTAAAATTCATTTAAGGCAATTACATTTTTAAGTCGAACACAGCTGGCTAGCCCTAAGAAAATTTGTATTTTGATAATGGTTATTACCAGGACCATGAATAATTGACTAATAACAGCTCATTAATATTCTAGTGGGGAGAGTGCCTGAGGCTAATAAAATTCATTTTAAAATTAGTTTTTAAAAACTGGCTCTGCAGCCCAAGGATAACGGGAAGTCCAGCCGAGCAAGAGCAAATCAGTGTGCTAGGAAACCTTGTCGGTTCTGTTCACATCAGCTGGTCGGTGAGCAGCACTTGCGCTCCGCATTCCATCCTCCTTCTGCAGGGAAGCGCTGCCTGTGTCTGCGAGACCCTTGGCCTGGATGCTGTGGGCCTGGGAAGGGTTACTGCGGCGAGCCCGTGGCAGGGATAGCTCTGACATGGGTGCCCCTGGTCCTTCTGGGTGGGACTCCTCTGGGAAGGCGGTCCCCTGCTCCCTCTTTCTCTCTGGGTTCCTCCCAGGATTTTGCACTTGGATCAGACTTATTTTAAGTTAAACTTTCTACCTTGAGGTCCTTGTAGATTCACTACAATTATAAGCAGGACTACCCTTTGCCCAGCAGTCCCCAGCAGTAATGACTTGTACTCTCACACTGATAAGGCCAAGCTAAAGAACATTCCGTCACATAAGGATCCTTCATGAAGGCCTTTTACAGCCACCCACTTCCCTTCCGCTCCTCTTCCCTCCCCGCTGCGAGCACGGAATCTGTCCTCCATCTGTTCTCATGGGGTTCAAAGATGAAATTGGGTCTCTGGTTTAATAAGCGACAATATGTATCCACATAACACAAGGGACAAAGACAATTGTCCTTGGAGGGAAATTAAACACTTTGGGATTTTGGACCGGGCAGAAGGAAGGCTTCTATTTGGACGCAGATCCAGCAGAAACACTTGAGTGTATTGGTCTTTAGAGGAAGCGTCCTGGTATCCTTAGTGTGCGAGCGTTCAGCTCCCTTGCCTGGAGTCTGTGGTGAACCGTAGTCTACCTGGACTCCCGGGTGCTGTGTGGCTGGGGGGGCTAATAGTTGGTTTAACCTGTGGCCCTTAACAAGTAGGGGCAGACAAGTTGGTGCTCCACCCTCCTTCCCTCAGAATGCCTGGGGGGACCTCTCAGCTGCACCCCCCCATCATCAGAAGATACACAGTGGAAGTGGTGGGAGATGTGGGTTAATTACTTGATGTGGGTTAATTACTCTTCGAATAGATGTTCTGGAGGTGTTTGCGCTACAGTTCCTTTAACCAACAGAGCAGACACCACGTGGAGAAAAGGAAGAGGCCCTACCTCAGCCTTACTCACCCAGCAAAACTTAACCCTAGTTGAGCTCTGAGCTCCTCCTTAGCCACATGCGCCCTGGAGCAGCTAAAGGGAGTGAGCTGCAGGCTTGTTGCTGCCAGTGCAGCAACCTGCCACACGTGACTAGCGAGGCCCCAAGATGGGCCCCTTTGACTGAGGAGCTGAATTTGTAGTGCATTTCATTTGGTTGTCTTAAATTGAAATAGCCACATGTGGCTGGTGGTTGGCGTATGGCAGCACAGAGGCCCCAGGCTACCAGTGTTGGGGTGCTGGAGTCCCTTCACCCCCCCCTCCGTGGAGCCAAAGCAGAATTGTTTGGCACAGTGCCCCTCCAGTCCCCTGGCGGCCCCTTCTCCCCACCCCGCAGCAGTCTCTCTGAAACACTGTTGAGCAAACCTTTCCAAACCATCAGTTTGAAGAGGAAGCAAATAATTAGCCTGCCTGGACAGTGGCCACGTTTGTGCTGGCTGGGCCAGTGCTTGCTCACAGTCGTGCTGACTCAGTGCTTCCAAATGAGTGAGACGCCATGTCACAGACTGCAGCCTGGTTCCTGGGGCTGGCATGGAATTTGTCCCCGACCTGCAGCGCTGCCCCCCCCTTTCTTTCACGGGCACTCAGATTGTGTTGCCTTTTCCCCCTCAGCTGGAGAGGCGTGTAGGGAAGCAGTCATTAAGAGTGTGGGTCCTAGAATCAGGTTCCTGGGTTGCTTTGACCTTGGACAAGTTAATTAGTCTCTCCGTACTTCCCTTTCTGCACCTGCAAGATGAGGAGCATCACAGTACCTCTGTCATCATACGGCGATGGGACTGAGTAAATCCGAGCAGTGCCCTTGGTTCACGGCAACTGCTCTGTTGATTGTCATCTCCTCATGACTGATGAATATGAGCTTGAGAATGAAAATTTGGGGGGGGAAATGTTTTGATGGCGTGGTTCTTACAGGTGCCCACAAGGGGGCAGCCTAAAATCACACAAGGCCCTGGAACAGTCTTGTTGGTAAAGCCTCAAGATAATATGGCCGTTTTCAAATGTGTTTAGCTCTTCCCCCCAGCCCCCTTGTTTTTTTCTGTCTTCTGCTTAAAGAACACTTTCAGTGGTTCTTAGGCCCAGAGCTGGGGCTGGCCCGTTAGCATCCAGAGGGAGGTATGGGCAGGGCAGGGTGAGTGCAGGGGACTGTGGGTGGACAAGTTAATGTGGATGCTGACACAAGCATCTGCCAGGAGTCCTCAGTGTCTCTAGCTTTCCACACAGAATGAACTGTTGAGGTAGAGACGAAGGCCTGGAAATGTTTAGAGAAAAGAGGAACCTGATTATATGGCTGCCTTGGGGTCTCTGTGGGAGACAGTGACATGAGCTGAGCCACTAGGGATGTGTAAGCCACTCTTCGCCCCTGTAGCCTCTCCCTCCCTCCCAGGGAGGCCAAGCTGGAGCACCTCTCTCCCGGCAAGCAGAAAGAGATTAGGGTTCTGCCAACCATGTGGGGGCACGGACCATGGCGGGTTGGGAGGTTTGGACTATAAAGAGGGTGGGGCTTAAACAGGTGCTGGGTGGGGGTAGAGAATGGGAGAGAAACCAGTGCTGAGGTCACTTGGGAAGAGAGTGGGGGTCTCGATTGTGGATGCCGGCAACGAGGAATGAAGTCAGTCAGGCCTTTACATCCTCGATGGCGTTCATGTCTTTGGTGACCTCATCATGAAGAGTTGGCAGAAACAGACATGGGCAGTGGCACAGGTATCCGCCATTGCTCTTCCAGCGTTTTTCTCTTGAGCTTTACCTATCCCTGCTGCAAAATCAGCTGCTCTAGGGGCACTGTGACCATCCTGTGTCTGTCACATCCATCTCTGGCCGTGTTCCCGTAACCTGCACTGCCGTCCCAGACGCCACATCCCTCTCCTGGACACGGACAGTGCGGGAAGGGCCCTGCAAGCTGCCTGGGACAGCCGTTCACACTGGGAAGTCAGCGTGTGGCGCTGCCAGGCACACAGGCCCGGGGAACATGAGTCTGACTGTATTAACACCAGGGCCAATTTCGCCAGAACGTTGTGCTTTAAGTTACATATAAATAATACTCGTGAGTGACCAGTTATAACAGTGACAGTACATTGTTTCTAATCCTACAGGGACCAGGAACATCATTTAATCTCTGAATTAGAAAGCCCTTTGGGCTCTTGCAGAAGATGGGTAGTGATGCCAAGCTCCTGGGATGTTTGGGGGGAAACTGCTATTTGTTCCATTTAGTTTCTTTCATATATTCAAGTGACAGACAAGCAGCGGCACATTATATTCCTTTGTGCTTCTAAAATGCTGAGATTGCCGTGAGAGCCGATGTAGCAGACCCGAGATGGAACCTGAGTGTTATATTATTTCACTGTTCACCCAGGGCGCACCTCGGTGGTCTCCGGCAGCTGGTTCCTTCCAGAGGGGCGCGTGTCCACGCGCTGCCGTCACTGATGGCCCGAGCCGCGTCTGCTTTAGCCCTTCCCTTGCCCTGGGAGACGGGCTGAGGGAGACCTCATGGGCTTTTGCTCCCTGCCAGGCCTCTGTCACTTAGCACTTTCTGACCCCTCCAGGGCCAGGTGAGGTGACAGAGGACTGGGGAAAGGGCTCCATTCTCCAGGACTGGGGCCCCTAGAGGACAGCTCGGGGGTTAAGTGTGGGAACATGGGCTGTACCCCTCGGGGTGGCCACTTGTGGGGGGAGGGGGCGTGGCCCAGCAGCCTTAGTGACTGGGACTAGGCAGAGTGAGGAAGTTCATCATATTTTCTCTTTTGTAGGCATGGACGGGTTTTTAAGATCTGATGAGAGACAAAGACTAGCTAAAGAAAGACGAGAAGAAAGAGAAAAATGTCTCGGTGAGTTGCGCACTTTGGCCATTTAGGTCCCAGGAAATGAAGATGTGGTGGAGTCTTTTCTGAGAGATTAGAAGTTTGTGCCTGAATGGGGAGAGAACAGAGACAGTTTGTAACAAAGGGGGAGATTCTGCACTGGCACGTTTACTGATTATTTTAAATAAGCCTCAGAAGAGTACTTCACTCACTCGGCAAACACCGACCCTTGGCTGTGTTCTGGGCGCTGTGCTAGGGCTCTGGATGGGTGGTAACAAAAGAGAAAGAGCCACTGCCGCCACCCCTTCGCGTGAGCATCCTGGGCTCACACTTGGGCTCTTTGGGCCATGCAGAAGGGCTGTCTTTCTTTGGGAGGACTGAGAAAATCGGCAGTTAAGACATGTGCTGAGGATGGAGAGCCCCTAGAGAAAGGCTGGCTCACCTCTTGCAGGCTGTAGACAGATCAGTATGGTCTGTTTCCCACAGGGAGCCAGGAGGAGGGTAGACAGTGGTTTCCCAGCTGAATTGAGACAAAGGACGAGCTTGCAAGTTCGTTTCCTGACTGCCTCCTGCTGGCTGCTTCAAGCATTGCATCCTCCTGAGAACCCCTCCCTAACTGAGCCGGGTGCCATTTGGGTGTTCAGATCCCTTAAATATCTTGCGGGAAGGCCGGCCTTCCGCACTGTCTCCCTGCCTGCCCAGCTCCGTGTCTGGTGCGGGGTGCAGCGCGGGCCGGGGCACTGAGGTTTTCTCAACCCCATGTATGCCTGAGCCATGGTGATAAATCCTGCTTCTGATAGCAGGGCTAGTCGTGGCTTCTACGTGGAGGCGCGTGACCCCCACCTTGAGGCTGCCACTGTGATTGTCCCTACCTCAGGGAGGACGAAGCTGAGGCAGAGGGAGTCCATGTTAAACGTGCCCAGGGTCACCCACGAGCGGCAGGCAGCCGGAGCCCTTCCTCGGAGTCACCACAGCCTCGGCGCCCACGGGCTTTCTTCTAGCCTCACTCTGGCTTCTCCAGGTCTGCCCTCGAATGATGACACCGCTTCTGCTTTCCTTTTCCCAGCTGCCCGGGAGCAACAGATCCTGGAGAAACAGAAAAGAGCCAAGCTCCAGTACGAGAAGCAAATTGAGGAGCGATGGCGGAAACTGGAAGAGCAGCGGCAGCGGGAGGACCAGAAGAGGGCTGCTGTGGAGGAGAAGAGGAAACAGAAGCTCCGGGAGGAGGAGGTAAGGTCCTCGGACCCCCACCTCCTGCCCCTCAGCCTTGCCCCTGGTCGGTCACTAGGCCTTCTTCACGCACGACAAGGCCCAGTGGAAGCTGCATGGAAATAGGAGCAGTGAGGCGTATATGTTCAGCTCAGGTAGTAATTTGCTGTGTGACCTTGGACAGATCGGTTGGCCTCTCTGGGCCTTGATTTGCTTGTCTCAGAAGTGAAGGTGCTGCATTTGGCCATCTCCTCTGACCAGGATTCAAGGGGATTGTGGGTAGGGGCTGGGTGACAGAGACCTGAGGGGTTAGGTTCTACTGGGGGTGCATACCTCGAGGCATGGCAGACTCCAGGCTGGGGAGGGGCTGTGACGGTAGAGAATAACATGGACCTGACATGCAAAGAATTACATTAATCATTCTTTCTCTCCAGTTACTTTTAAAAGAGAAATGGAATGTAATTACCTCTACAGAGTCCTTTATTACTAAACTTTGAAAATATATTTAGAAAGCATATTTGGGGTATAGATTTCCTTAACAAGTATATTTTTAAGGATGTAATCATAGCCTTGTATCAGGTGACGATCATTTTTTATTCATAAGTATAATGACTCATCACTCAGTACCAACAATATAGAGGTTTGTTCATCACCGATGCTATAGGATTCAGAAATGTTTGTGTAAGTTCAACATTTTTTAAAAATCTGGCTTCTTGAAATATGTCTTTACACCTTCCTACTATTTTTAATTTAAAAAACATGAACATAAAAAAAAAAAAAAAACCATGAACGTGTATACAGGTACACGTACAGTATCAGACTTCTCTTTGCCCACTTGTTTGGGTGGCGATTTCTTTGTTCATCTTGGGGAGCGGACGTCTCAGCAGAGGTCCTAGCCTTGGTTCACGTTGCTGGCTGGTGGCCACACACCCCCCTCTAACTCGGTCTCCTCAGCCAAAGCAGAGGTGGTTACAGGAATTAAACGAGGTCACTTTTATGAAAGTTCCCAGCCAAGCACCTAGCACAGAATAATTAATTGCTCAGAAATATTGGCGGCCCTCGGGTGACTTCAGCTGACCTTGGCTGCAGCAAGGTCAGGGGAGAGCTACCCAGAAAAGATGATACGTGGAGCCCGTGGGCTGAGAGGAAAGCACGATACGAGCAGCTAGTCGGTCACTGGGGCAGACAGGGCCTATCCCAGCCTGTGTGTATTTGTTGTGACCCTCTGCACTTGCCCACTTTCTTCTCATGCTCCATTCCTTCACGCACAGCTTGTTCCCTTCCTCCCTGGTCTCCATTTTGATTCCCGACACCCTCCATTTTAATTGCTGGGCCCTGAGAAAGCATGTGGCTGCAGTTTCTAAGAAAGGACACTGTGAGGTCCCAAACCTGACACTCCCTACAGTGACATAGGTGTGCCGTTGAGGCACTCCCCATTTCATTTCCTGTTACCAGGCAGTAGTGATTTTAAATCAGGCGGGCGAGCGAGCGCCATGCCGGGTGGCTGGTCCTGAAGCAGTTGAATCTTTAGTGGTTTTGCTTTTGGATCATGTTCAGTTTGTTCCCTGGATGCCTTTTCCCCCTAGCATGGTGATGGTGGGGAGGGCGGCTGCTGCCAGCCCCTGGCCGGCACCAACACTGGCCTAGCTTGCTTCCCTCTTGTCCCGAGCGCAGCCAGGCAGGGCTGAGAGCTGGGCCTCCCCCTGCCACCTCCTCAGCCCTGGGAGACCAGGTACAGCTCAGATACTTTGCCTACGCAGCCTGGCCTAGAAACTGCATCCGCACAGTGCTCTGCTGGTGCAGGGGCCTGATTGGGGTCCTCCTGGATGATCTCTGGAGAGGATGGAACGGTCTGCACTGTAGGAGCCCCTTTGTTTTTGCCCTGGGGGTTGCTGGAGAGCCCCGGCAGGGTTGCCTCCTGCCTGGCACGGGTCTGTGCAGGTGCTCTGTCCTCTTCCTGGTGCCCGAATGAAGTTCTTGTCACCCTCTGTCTCCGTCGACTAGGGAGAAGCATCTACAGGAAGGTATTTCATACCATGCACCCCATTTTCCTGCTCTAGCTTATTGGAAAGTTTTTGTGTTGCCCACCTAGTCTTTCCTCTCTCGGTATGGTTTTTGGAGCTCATAAAAGGCCTGCTGATTCCCCAGATCCCCCTTAACAACCCACCCCCGGCTCCACATCCCTAGGCTTGACAGGATGTCACTCTTGGTAACTCCTCACATCTGTCCTGGGGAGTCCCAGACTCGGCCAGGACGCTCCTGGTCTCCAACACAGAAGTGGTCACAGACCACCTAACTCTCAGAGGAGGGCTGGAGACTGATCAGGCCTGTCCTGGGGAGTTTTAGCGTCCACTTGAGACCCTGACCTTGTGCTTATTCTCCCACTGGAGGCCGCCTTCTCCTCAAGATGTGTTCTTCCAAGAATCAAACCGCTGGAACAAGCACTTGTCACCTGCCTGGGTCGGGTCTGACAGCATGACCTGCTTTCCCAGCTTCACATTCTTGTGCTAAACAGAGAAGTAGGAAGAGCTTGTACAAAGAGCTGCTTCATCTCTATTATTTTGACACCTCACAACCTCTCATGCTCTCATTGCTTGATACCTAATATACCCATCCTGCTGGGTGTAAAACAGACATTGCTCAACTCACCCAAACAAAAACTTCGCTAAGCTGGGGGCTTTCCACTCTCAAAGGGCACTGACTGACAAAGGACCGTGCTGACTGCCTGACCTTCTGGCAGATGTGGACATATGTATGCAAGAAGGAAGACCTCTGCAGAGCCCTGTTGAGGGCAGTTGGGTGGCTTGTCCCCATACTGTCATCCCCAGCACACATGTGGTAAGAATAGCGGAAGAGCCACAGCCAGCTCTCCATGCTGCCAGAAAGGGCAGTGCCCAGGCTGTGCTTTGCTGGAGCCCAGTTCATCCAGGCAGGCCTAGAGCCAGAACTCAAGGGGCCAACGAAAGGGTGAGGTCTACTCCTTCCTTCCTCCCACTAAGACCCAACTCTGGAGGATGTGCTTAGGAGAGAGTCAGCCTTGCCCTTTCCCCATCCTCTACAGAACCACGGATGATGCTGGGGAGAGCCAGCACTTGGCGGAAGTTCAGTGTGCTGTGTGCAGTTCTCGAATTTATTGATTCTGTTCAGATGTGATTGGGCTTGCTTTTCTCTCGCTCCCTGTCAGGCACAGCCTTTCCTCTAACCAGTGGTTCTTTTTTTTTTTTTTAAGATTTTATTTTATTTATACAAGAACTGGGATACAGGCCAGATGTGGGGGAGGGTGAGAGGATTCACCAGAGACAGAGCGGGAGCAGAACAGGCAGACTGATGAAATACACTGCTGAGGGGAGCAGCGGGCGTGACAAGAGAGGTCTGCTTGCCATGTGAGTTGCTCCAAGGCCGGCCGGGATTGAACCCGTGCTGCAGAGGGTACGGACAGCTTCACAGCGCTGCACTCAACTGCCTACGCCACCAGGGAGGCCCTAACCAGTGGTTCTTACAGTGCTTGGAGCTCATAAAAGGCCTGCCGGTTGGTTCCCAAGACCAGCAGCGCCGGCATCTCTGGAAACTTGTCAGAATTGTCAGTTCTCAGCAGGCTCTGCCGGACCTGTAGAATCAGAAACTCTAGGGGTCTTAACCAGCCCTCGAGGGGATTCTCATGCAGGCCCTCTCAAGTTTGAGAACCATTGCCATAAACTGCCCTGTTAATAAAATCCTGCTCTTCAGTTTTAGAGTCTGTTAGCTTTGGTTGAGGACTCCCTAGCTAGTTGATGTGGTGAGATAGGTAATACCCCTTCTACAGATGCGGGAGTGAAAGCCCAAGGATGTTAAATATTGAGCTCCAGGTCACAGGGCCAAAAGGTGGCCATGGTGGGATCTGAATCCTCACGCCCTGCTTCCAAAGCTAGGATCCTTTCCATTCCATCGCATGAAGGAACAGAAAGATGCCCCCATGCTGGCTGATACTTACCCATAGTCTAGCAAGACTGAAGTGGACACGTTTTGTTTCGGCATTTTTTTTTTGATATTTATTTTTGTACGATGAAGTTCCATTGCTTTACATCCTTGTTAATAGGTTGACAGTGTACGATCTCTCCCTCAGCTGTGGTTACCGTAGCTCTCCCACCGCTCTGGCATGTTTGAATCATCCCATTTTGACCACTTTGGGTTCCATAAGTTCCCTTACCATAGAGCTTGGTTCCCACCTGTTTTTCATATCTCCAAAAGTGGGTGGCACTGAGTGTCTTTCTCTGAGGGGTATAGCTTCATTTTCATCAGCCTACCTGTGGTTCAAAGGAATGAATCTGGAATGATGGGATTTAGAGCTGCTCAGTGCATTAGGGATGGATGGCAGCGGTATTTTTTCTGGAGGTAACTGAACAGCCCGGGAGCGGGTCTGGGCTTGGGTGAGCATTTCCTTGAAGTTATGTCCTTAGTGGCTCGGTGGTAACATTGGCCCAGCGAGTCTTGGTGGTTTATTCTCATTGGCCTCTTAGTAGATGAAAGACTGTCTTGTGACGCATGGAGGAAATCACTCATAACCCACAGTACTCAGCTCCCTTTAAGGTAGAAAAAGGTTTCAACACTTAAATTAGGTCATTGCTTAAATACTTTGTGTTAAAGCCATATAATGAAATACTAGTCAGCCCCAGTCTCAGGCGACTGTATTTCAAGTGTCACATAGTCAAGAAGTTCTAGTCCCTCCAAGCTCCAACGTTTATCAGGCTGACCACCAGGGTTGGCTATCACATTCAGTGGGCTGGGGTTGTGAGGACTGGATTCTGCTGGGAAACGCACACTCATGATTGTAGAATCTCAGCCAAAAACTAGAGTGCAGTTAATAGCAAATCCAAACTGGAGACTTACAGGAGGAGAAAAATCCCCTTTCTGCTCACATGGTCCCCTGAGAGGTTATCTCTTAGCAAAGTGCTATTCCAGGGAAAATTATGCAGAGGAGGCTGAGATGTGGAAAATGCCCATCTCATCCCTCTGCTGTAGACAAAGGGGACAGATCCAGATACTCCCTCCCTCAGTGACCTTCCAGTGTTTCTAGTAAGTGAAATAAAGTAGCCTTTCATCTCGCTCTAAATCACAGTTGGTGCTGCCCCAAGTGAACTTGCTTCCTTGCTTATCTAAGCCATGCGTAAATAATATCTTTTTGTTTGGGAGCCTGTCCAGGTTTAGCCCTTTTCCTTGTTCCAGGCCTTCTCCAGTAGAGGCAGGGGAGAGGATTTGGTATTTGTAGTGTAATTGGGGTGGCAGGAAGTGCAGAATTAATAGAACTCCACACCAGTGCCAAGGAGATATCTGCCAGCACTCAGGTCCAACTTCATGAAAATGACAGTTGGGTAACACAGGAGAATGCTTCTCTGCAGTGCTTTGTGAAGAGGGAAACCTAGCTGTTGTTTTTCTCTACTGGCTAAACATTGTTCAGTTCCCCTTTATTAAGTCCTAAGGTAAAAATGGGACTTTGCAAAATGAATCTCGAAGTCATGTGTCACCCCAAAAAGTTATACTTCAGGCTATCCAAATTCAAATGACATTTTAATTTAAATGTTCTCAAATTGGACTGCTTTCCACTTGCAACTAGAGAGGAGGCGGTTGGGTCTAGAGCACAGTTCAGCTCTCCTGTTGGATGGGGGCAATGCTGGCCTTGAGACCGGCCTCAAGGAGTTAATGCTTGGCTGGCATTCTTAAACAAACCGAGCTGGGAGCCAGCACTGGCTGCATTGTTTACTCTCCGCCCCGCACAGGAGGAGCTGGCGTGGGGGAGTGCACGTGTCCCTGGGTTTGGGATGCTGAGCATAGAAGGCCCTCATTGGTGACTCACCCCGGCGCTGAGGCGTGGCAGCTCAACAGGGCTGAGAGCTTAATCTTGTTCTCTCTGGTGTGAACTGGACAGGAGCGGCTGGAGGCGATGATGCGCAGGTCTTTGGAGCGCACACAGCAGCTGGAGCTGAAGAAGAAGTGCTCGTGGGGAGCATCTTCGCTGGCGGGGGGGCCCGGAGGTCGAGATGGTGAGTTGAGCTGTTCCGCAAGTCCCGCATCGCAGGGCCCTGTGGGAGATGGTGGTCACGGCTGCACCTGCATGCCCTCCCACCCACAGGATCTGGGGGATGCTTTGCACAGGTCCGCAAGTACCCTTTTCAGATGTGCTGTTAAAAACTGCCACGCTTCCCGGGGATACATTTCTCCTCAGGAGGATCTGTGCCTTCTTGCTGGCAAACAGCAGTTGATACAGTGACTGGGCTTTGAGGGAAAGCAAGAGAATAGCAAAGAAAATGAATGCCGAGCCGGGTTTAGGGGATCCAGCGGCAAGCCCGGCCGTCTGGCCGCAGGGACGGAAGGTGGCAGCAGGCTGTGTTGGCTGCGGCGCCACTGCAGCATGACGGGAGAGGCTGAGCAGCAGCTGCCCTCTGAGGGGGGCTGGGTTTCCCCTCCTCATTATTAATTTTTGTTGCTCTTTTCATTTTGTTTTAGGTGACTTATTTATGTCATTATCCAGCTCATACTCATCTTTAAAATTTCAAGTGCTTAATGTATAGATTGTTGCTAGACTCTGGGTAACCTTCCCCTCTTCCTGCTGTCTTCCTGCATGTCCGTGATCTTGATTTTACTCTGCAGGATTGTGTAGTCTCTCCTTCTTAGAGCTAATGGGTTTGCCTCTATAGAGTGCAGTGTCCTGACCTTGCTATATTATGCTTGTAACCTTCTATCAGTGAGTATACTTATCTCAATTCCTTTTTCTAATTTCCTTTTTCTAATTTCCTGTGAGAAACTAAAATCAGAAATTGAGATTTTTTTCTTTTACCCCTCTTTGCTCTGATTTTTGGTGTTTTTTTGTTTTTGCTGTGTAGGTGAATCAGAAAATACCCCACCCCCTCCTCTAGGTTTAGCAGCCAGCACCCTCCCTCTGGACCCAGGGACCGCTGCCGCCGCTGCCGAGCCCACCAATGGTATAGCCCAGCTTCACCATGCCATGGCGTTTGTGATGGCTGTTCTGATCACCCTCCTCCATCACCGTGTCTGTCTCCAGCACTTTTACAATTGATTTCTTAGTCTTACCCCTTAGAACTTTTTTCCTATTTTTCTAGAGATGTAAATGACATATGACCATCTTTCTTTGTTCCGCTGTCATCATGGAGCTGTGCATGCCTTACAGCCTAGCACCCTGGACACATTTCATTCTTAGCTCACCAACGTCTGCCTTGAAAATCTTGTCACTATTTGATCTTTGTGCATTTAGATTCTTCCACATTCATTCATTAATCGGTTTTGGGCATTAAGCAATAGGGTGTTCTAGTCACTTTTGCTTACCAAAATCTGTAATCACGCTGAGTTCTGTGTGTTAACGTGATGGATTCTTGGAGAGGTGTTGAAGAGGGAATGATTGGGCATTTATCCAAACAGGGATATAAGTTGACTCTGTAATAGACTCTCAGTTTTGGATACAGGCCTGGGAAATTCAGAGTCTAGATCAAAACCAGAACTAGCAAAGCTTTGCTCCCAGTTAATGACTTTAGAAATTCAACCCATCTTTGGCTGACAAAGAAAAAACAAGGTGTAGAAGGGATGCAATACAGGAGACCTGACTCTAGCAATAAGAATAGATATCCTTGGTTTCCAGCATTCCATTGACAAAAAAATAATTTTTTTTTTTTTTTTGGTATTGCTGTGCAGCAGAGACTTTGCTGCATGGGCCAATTTCACTATAATCCAGGAACTGATCTTCCCCAAAACAAAGAGGGGCAGGTAGAGTTGATAATTACCCTGTGGGAATTGCACCGAGAACCCAGGCCAAGAGTAGGCAAGTGTACTACTTGAGTCAGGCATACAATTTTAGGGGGTGCCCAGAACTTCAGTAACCAAGGTAAAATAATATTTTTACAAATTAGAATGAATACAGAGCCATCCATGATAGAATTTCTAAAGGCCACTGCTCTGTGTGCCGTATCAGCGCCTGAGGCAAAAAGGGAAATGTGTATTCCCATATAAATGATTTTATGTAATTTCGTCTAATCTTTGATTTTGTTCCAGAACATCAAAGTAGTTTTAAAATACTGAAAAATTGAGAAATATTAAATCCCATTTCATGCTTAAATTATTTATAGTAAAACAAGTTGTAATTTTCGTTTTGCTTGACTTGATTAAAAATTAATTAGACTCATCCACGTGATCAGAAGAAATAGTCTCATTTGAAAACAAGATGAACAGAGGGGTAGATGTTGAAAATATTTCTGAGTTTGCTTCTTTGAAAGCCAGCACATACATTTTTCCTTTTTCCTCAGGCTCCAGAGTGGCTTGCCGTCATGGTTTTCTTAAGAGACCGGTCTAAAACAAGGTCCAGAAATTAAGAACACCAAACCTAGGGCTACATGTTAAAATTCTAACCATAGGATGGTCAGAGCATTTGAGAAAGGGCCCTTGAGATCTCACCTCTTGTTAAGAGAAAGACATCAACTGGTGAAGGTTCTTCTGCTTTAAATACAGCTCCCTAAATTCAAATTATATCTCTCTCCAACCTGAGCTATAGATAACCTTCAGGAAAAGTCTGAGTCAGACGGTCGAGCCTTTTCCACTGTCACTCTTGTCTCTGAGTTCAGGTTGGCTTTGTTTTCTTGTGGTCTGGCTGTGCTAGAAATCCCTAGACGCAGGGAGAGAGGTGATTTGCTGGTGGGGTTAGCCTGCTGTAGTCAGACAGTTGAGCGAGGTTGAAGCCTGGAACTGGACAAGAAGAACAAAGTCAAGAAATGGAAGAGAAGATCCTGCTCCCAGCTGATGGCCGCGGTGGCCTGGCATGTCCAGCTCAGCTCAGCAGCTGGCAGGATGGTGGCAGCGCTGTGCTCTGCCCCCTGCTTTAGGAGGCGTGTGGATGAGGACAGGAAGAGCACTTTGGGATGTGTGTTTCTTGGCCTGCGGTAGCGTGGATACCAATGTCTTTAATGCGTTTCTCTGCAGCATGTGACAAACTTTCAACATCAACCATGAATTTGCCAAAGCAGATGGAGCCTCCCATGAGTAAGCGCCTGTCTTCCTCCACCGTGGCAATATCCTATTCCCCAGACCGAGGCAAGTGAACGCGTAGACCTGGTCTTTGTAGTGCGAGTGTCTCAATGTTATTGTCCCGTCTTTCTGTGTGCAAGCCCTGCTTGAGCCACTGCCACCTGAGCCTAGCCTTGCGGTCCCCAGGGGGGAGCCCCAGGACCTCCGGTAGAACTCAGGACAGTGACTCTCTCTTTGCGCCAGGTTGTTGTTGCACAGGGCCAGGATTAACGATGTCCCCCCACTCTGAAGGAGACGGTTCCGTTTTCCACAGTGTGTGCAGGGCGGTCCTGCCCCAGAGTGAATTGACTGGTGGGCAGATTCCAGGGTTGAAAAAGCAGCTGCCCCGTTGTCGGTGTGATATAGTTGATTAGCCAGACACAGCAGCGTGGATGAGGCCAAGGCAGTGGGAGATGTGGGTGTGTGAAAAAAGCAGCCCGCTACTACCTGGCTTGTAGGCCTGCCTGTCTCTGTCTTGAAAACAGAAGTTTAGAACTAACATGGAGTCTTTAAAGGGGGGGAAGGAAGGGCAGCCTTTCCTGGCACACTGCTTTGAGGTGAAAATGTACAGCCTGTGTGCCAGGTCCAGAAACTAAATAGATTTAAAACTGCCTGTGTTCTAATGGAGGCTCCCAGGAGTCGCTGAAAGTCTGGATTTATACCGTTCCCAGTATGTAAGTTCAGGAAGGACTAAAAAGCTCTCTATGCATGAAATGCGTATTTTTTTTTCAATAATCTTTTTTTTTTTTTTAAGATTTATTTATTTTTGTATACAAGAACTAGGGCACAGACCAGAGGTGCGGGAGGGTGAGAGAATCCACCAGAGACAGAGCAGGAAACAGAACAGGCAGAAGGTCCGAAATACACTGCTGAGGGGAGCAGTGGGCGAGACAGGAGAGGTCTGTCGCGCCATGTGGGAATTTCCCCTGCCAGGCGGGAATCAAATCGGCACAACAGAGGCTGCAGACAGCCTCACAGCGCTGCGTTCAACCCGCTGTGCCACTGGGGAGGCCCAAAATGCGTATTTTAAAGCATCTTTGAAGAAATGTCAGGTACCAGTGGAGTTCAGTCACGTACCCTGTAATGTTTCTGTCGATGGTGGACCGATATAGACGCCAGTCCTATATGTAGCCTTGGTGGGTAGCCCGCTGGGCCGTGTAGGTTTGTGTCATTACACTCTAGACGTGTTCACACCACAACACAGTCACCTAACCATGCAAGTTAGTCCCATTGTTAAGCACCGCATGACTGTATTTAATGTAGCAGCTCATTGCCAAGAGGCAAACAGGACATTTTTGCCTCTGTAGCAGCCAATGTGCCTTCGTTGTTCTTCACTGACACTGACCTTGCACCTCCGGCGCACAGGTCTATCATGTGTCAGAGATGCCCATAGGTGTCAGTGCTGCTGATCTCTGATATGGGTCTTGGGTATGTGCTGCAAACCTTGAGTTAAGTAAGAGCTGTATGCTTTTAACTCTATAGCTCTTCCATTAGCGAGCATATTCTGTATGTTTTCATTAATTCACAAGGTTAGAAGTTGATGTTAAATTCATATTTGCATTTATTAATATCTGTGTGTTATATATTGTTGGCAACTGAATTATCTGCTTGTGTGAATTGTAAATTAAAAAAATTTTAATTCCCAAACCATTTTTATACTGGCTGATGGGTACCCAAAGAATACAGAGTAATGGAAAAGTTAATTCATTACCATATGGCATGTTCCAGAACCATCAAAATGACAAAATGATCATTAAATTTTAGATTATGAATGCAACTGCTTCCATTAAAGCTGATAATCAGTTGGCTGTTTTTTTATTTTTGTGTTTCTTAGTTTTACTTAGGAGTTCCTGCCCTTGTTTATGTGGAAATAGCATGAAAGGATGCATATTAACAAGATCAGTGTGTTGTGAAATATTTCTTAGCAAAGGACTGACCTAAAACAAGTGTTTTGTAGAAGTAATCTTTTTTAATTTTATTTTTGTATTCCCCATACAATTGCAACCCCCTTATTTTGACCCCAATCCCTCCTTTCCCTGCCCCCCCATAGTGTGTCTGTAGAAGTAATCTTTTTTCAGTGTTAGATCTACTTGTTGAGTAGTGGTTTTCTGAATCCATATTCCATATTAGGAGATGGACTGAATCTGTGGGAGTGATACAAATAGTGCTATAATACTGTAGCAGCATATTGAATAAATCCGGGCACCCCTGTAGAATTAATGCACTCTCCCAAACTCTGAATGACACAGCATTTGTTTCATTTCACTATGATGAACTACAAAGCATCCCTTGCTAGAATATTTTTATTTCCTACCTTTGTTCTGCCACTTGGAAGTTAATTTGCATCATACACTGTTGTTGGAAACATTTATTTTGTTTTAATTTTGCTTTTTTAAATTTTCATTTGATTCCATCCCTCAGCTCATCGCACACACCTTAGTCCCACGGAGCCCTTTCTTGTTTCGCGACTATTGATGCCCACACAGGCTACTATAGCCAGAGACAGAAGTTCACTCTTGCTCTCTGAGCAGGCCAGTGACTCAGGTAAACGCAGCCAACTTGGTGACACTGAGGAAAATGCCTAAAGCGGTGTTGGTTGGCCTATGAGTTTTTCCTGAATTTCTGTGTTTTGCTTCCCATTTGCTGGCTTTGTGAAATGTCTTCAATGGTTAATACTGTTTTCTACCCAGCAGTGTTTTGCTATTGCTGTTTCTTTTCTTTTGTCCCAGAGGTGAGTAAATTATTTTATGACTAAGAGCGTGTGGATGAGAAAAAGTATCCATTTCATGAGCTGTGACACTTTTTAAAGAGATGGTTTGGCAGAGTAGCCTGTAAATCAGTCTCTGGAGACCCATAACCAGCTCTACTGCTTACTAGCTCTTACTGCTTTGACTGAGTTAATTAACCTCTCTAAGCCTCAGTTTCCTCATCTATAAAATGGAGTTATTTAAAATTATCGCAAGGATTAGATGAGAGAGGGATAATTGGCACAGTAAGATTCAACAAATATCTAGAGCCTTGCTACTCAAAGGGTGGTCTGTTGGCATCACCTGGAAGCTTGTTAGGAAGGCACTTTCAGACCCCACTAGACTGCACACTGAAGTCTGAGGAACACTAGCCTACAGCATCAAAGCCCTTCCTTGACCAAAGCGGATCACATCTACATGGCACAATTAATGAGGGTTGAGCAGCCAGTGACTCGGGTAAAAGAGGCTTAGTTGGTGACACTGAGGAAAATGCATCCACGTTAGGGCAGTCTGCGCTCAGCTCCCAAGATAATGTATTCAGTGAGATGACACATTTATATATATGTGTGTGTCATATATATGTATATATAAAACCCTCTGTCAGTTCTAGCTGTTTCCCATTTGATATACTCTTTATGCAAAGAAAGAGACAAATGGCCAATAAACACTGATCGGGTGTTCAACATTCTTAGTCACTAGAGAAATGCAAACAGAACCACAGTGCCATGCCCCTTCACACTGATTAGGATGGCTAAAATCAAGAGGAAATTGCTCAGTGTCGGCGAGGATTTGGAGAAATTATATCCTTCATACATTGCTGGTGGAAATGTGAAATGAGGCACTCTGGAAAATGGCCTCAAAAGTTCCTCAGAAAGTTAAACATTAAGTTACCTCATCACCCAGCACTTGCACTCAAGGAAATTGAAACCATCCATTCAGACAAAAACCAGTACAGGTGTGCCGAGCAGCATTACTCACCTTAACCACGAGGTGGAAGCACCCCAGTGTCCGTCAACAGATAAATGGATAAAAGATGCAGTATATCCCTAAAGGGGGGGGGGTGTGTTCAGCTCTAGAAGTGGATGAATTACTGAAACCTGCTGCAGCATGATTAAGCTTGAAAACATCCTCTGAAAGAAGCCAGACACAAAGTGTTACAAATAGTACGATTCCAGTTATGTGGCGTGTCTGGAATAGGCAAGATTATAGAGACAGTAAATTAGTGGCTGCTGACAACCAGGGAGGGGAGAAGGAAAGAGAATGCTTAATGGGTACTGGGTTTCTTTGGGGGGTATTGAAAATGTTCTAGAATTACACTGTAGTTGTGGTTGCACACCTTTGTGAAAATGCTAACAGCCACTAAACTTTACGCCCTGAAAGGGTGAATTTGTGGTGTGTGTATTATATCTTAAATAAACCAAACATTCCTGGGAAAACAGAAGACTCTCCATTTTGAGAATAAGCAATATGACAGGAGGTCCCCAAGAACATCTCCAGGATCAGTCATTCTCTTGGAGGACTCAACGATCTGGTTTTTTGTTTAATTTTTATTTATATATTTTTTTACATTGTTGTTTATTTTTGTACATTGTTTGATTTTTTTTCCTCTCAGGTGTAATCCCCATAAAATTCCCTCCACCAAGACACCTGCGAACCTTCACCCTAGTCTCTCGTGCTCTTCCCGCTCTTGTTTGGATCCCTCCCCCTCCCCTGCTGAATGTCTCCAATTTATTGTTTGCCTCCTAGTTTTGTGGGGGTTTTTTCCTGATCCCATGTACGGTTCCCCTATAGTTCTCCTATAAATGAAACCATCTGATATTTTTCTTTTTCCTTCTGACTTATGTCACTGACCATAATCCCTTCTAGCTCCAGCCATGTTGCTGCAAATGGCATGAGTTTCTTTTTTGATTGTTGAATAGTATTCCATTGTGTTTGTATAGACCACATCTTCTTGACCCAGTCATCTATTTGGGGGCATTTAGGTTGTTTCCATATCTTACCTATTGTAAATAGTGCTGCAGTGAACATAGGAGTGCAGGTTTCCCCTCAAAGCTCTTATTTATTATAGCAAAAGGCTACCAAGCAGAAATCTCCTCATGATTCCTGCTTCTCACACCAGTTGAATGAGGGGTCCCAAGAGTCCCCAGAGGTTAGATTCACTAGGAAGACTCAGAGGACTGAGCATCTGGTGATACTCACGGTTGCAATGTGTCATAGCAGAAGGCTGCCTGGCACAATCAGCAAAGGGAATTGGCACACGGGCCAAGACCATGGAGTGCCTGATGCAGGTGTCCAAGCTCCTCTGTCACGTCGGACTGCTCAATCGCCCCAGCCATGAACTGTGACAACACCTGTGAAAGCTCATTAGAGACTCAGTGCCCAGGGTCTTTACTAGGGGGTTGACATCCGCTGCTGGGCACATACCCACATTCCAGACTCTCAGAAGGAAGCAGGCATTCAGTATAGACCACATAGCTTGCGGGTTCGACACTCATCAGTTCATGAAGGGAACCCCCCTGAGAACTGAGTCCCAGATGCCAGCCACGGGCCACCCTTATAAGCAGGCCTTTCCACATACCGCAGTCAGGTCTGCTCTGTTAACTCTTTTTTTGTGCAAGGAAATTGATGTTTAGCAAGGTTAAGTAACCTGCCCAAGGTGATGCAGACATGAGGTGGCAGTGCTTGGGCTGGCTCACTCCATAGCCTAGACTTTGCACCCCTAAAATGAACTGGATTCTGGAGCATTGAATATGGGAGTCTTTCAGGACAGGGGCCATTCTGCATACTCTAGGAAAAATATGGCGGTATTTGGAGAATGTGGATTGCTTTCCACATGTTAACAGAAATGTGTTCTTCCCAACTCCCTGCTCCCTTTACTTTTGCCATCTGTGTTCCCTGTCTTTCTGGTTTTTACACTGTAACTCTCTAGTATTCCATGCCTGTCCTCGTGTAGCTCCTGCTGGCTCTCTTAAGTCTTCCTACAAGTCTTCTCCCACTCGGAACCCGGAGAAAAAGAAGGCTCCATCTTCATCTGGTGGAGGAGATGCTGGGAAAGGAGCCCCCGCAGGAGCAGAGTCCTCTCCGGTAGGTTTAAATCCACTCATTCACCCCTGGGGACTGGTTTACCTGACACTGGAATTACTTCTGTGCACTACCGGGGTCTGTTTCCATCAGTCTCCATGGACAGCTCAAGGGGTGGATTTGGTTTAACATTTAACCTAACCTTCAGAAGTCACTTAACTTTTTACACCCTCCCAAATCTTAGTGCCTTGGAGCAAATCCCTATCGTCATTGTAGCCTGCTTTCCAGAGGACAGAAGGCAAAAGGAATGTTCTGAGGGGCCTCTCTCTGCTTCTTTAAGGATGTCTAATTCTGGGCTAGTCTTGCCCAGAATTTTCATTGATCCATAACATATTACCCTAAAGTATAGAACTGATAAAAAAACATTACCTGGTACACTGGGTCAGGAATTGAGGATGGCTTAGCTGGCTGGTTCTGGTTCAGGGTCTCTCATGTGGGTGGGTCAAGATGGCAGCCAGAGCTGCAGACCTCTGAAAGCTTGGCTGGGGCTCTTCCAGGACAGCTCACTCACATGGCTGTCGACAAGAGGCCTTACTTCCTTACTGTGTGGACCTCTCCATAGAGCCGCTTAAGTGACCACATGACATGACAGCTCGTCTCCCCCCAATGAGAGATCCAGGAAAAGGAGCAAGGGGCGCACTGCAGCGCCTCTTCTAGCCCATCTCCCATATGTGCCATCACTTCTGCCACATGCAGTTTGGTAAAAGTAAGTCTAAGACCAACAACAAACATGGGAGCAGAAGTGAGTTCCACCCGTCAAAAGGAGGAGCTGCAGATGATGTGTGGATTTGTTTTAAAACCACCATGTAACTGTATTATGTCATGTGCTATGTACTATGGGGCATTTTTTTTATGACACCATATTAATATTTTCATTCCAGTGTGACCCTCATATAAGCAGTGATTATTTCAGGCCCTTAGGTTTTACTGTACAATGCATTACTGTGGAATGGGGCTGGACTTCGAGTTAACACTCAACATCTTCTGGATGTGGGGCACAAAGGTAGATTTGCGGCAGAAAAGTGCCATAGGAAGAGAAGGAAACTACCCTTGTGGAGCACTGAGGTGTGGGCCACCTGCCGAGAGAGGTGAAGGGGAAGACAGGATCTCCTGCCATTGAAGTCCCCAAGGACACCACTGGGGCCTACGGCTGGCTGCTCGGCTGTTAATCAGACGTGGAAAAGAACCACATTTGCACTCACCTGAAATTTTTTTGTGGTGATGGTATGTTTTTGTACTCTCCAATTTCCATGTGTCCAGGACCATAATGATTTATTTGGTTGTTAGTTCTTTGCAAGAAAACCTTTGCATTTTGAGATTAAAGTTGCTTTTTTCTGAAACTGGGTGACCTAAATATGATGACCTCATAGTGTGTCCTTGCAGAGATTCCAATGGTGTGAAGCACTACATCTTCATATGCCTCCTTTTGAAAGAAAACTGCATCACTTCCATAGGGGGTATTTCTAGAAACTGTAGAAGTTCTGCTAGTCATGGGCCATCTCTGTCCTATTCTGTGTCTCTTACAGACACAGAAGGCAAAGAAGGGGCAGCGAACAACAACTTCTGTTCCCAGTGTGGGCCTGGGGTCCCCTCTGAGAAGATGCGACTTCCCAGGAGGTGTTTCTAAGAGGTCGTCTTCTCCCGTGACATCCAAGTAAGCATATTACGCGTAACTTTGCCACAGTTGGACAATTCTAAGTGTCTGGGGAGTCTCTGGGTTGGCAGGTGTGCCGGCTGCTTCTCTACTAGGCACAGGGGTGCTGGACTTCAAGTTACCCCTTAACTCTCAACATCTTCTGGATAAATAGTGGGTTCTTGAGGGATTTATTGCCAGGTAAATACAGATTCTTACTTAGCCAGATGATCCATCTGACTTTTTCTCCTTATCTCATCCAAGTCCATTTTGCTTTTCTGGCATTTTCCTTCAACTGCACCTAGAGTGGAATGGGTGCATCGTGGGTGGGTGCCTTTACTCACTTCTCCCCCTCCCCCCCCCCCATTGCCTGTCAGAGTGTTAATAATAACTTGTCACCATCAGGAGTATTTTTTTTAGTGTGCGTGTGTGTGCATTTTTTCTTTTTAAGAAGTGGCTAAGCTCACCAATGAAACCATTTAATTGGGAAACAGATTTACGATAACTGCTTGAACACTGTCTGAAGCCACTAAAATATTTTACTGATAGTAAATGACTGGAATGATTCAGCACATAACTCAATCCAGCAAGAAAATGGAAAAAAATTTAGTAGTACTGAGAGAAAAGAGAAATATGACTTACCTTGGGGAAGTAGGGAAATCTTTATGTAGAAAGAATCATATAAACTTTGTTTAGTGTGTCATTTGATTCAGAGAACATAAGATAAAACACAAATTTATGGAACACTTGGAAATTTGTTTAAAATATTTCAGAATAACATTAACTAATTACTTGCTTTGTAACAGACTTTTTCAGTGTTATTTTGTTCAGAGATTGCAATGGTTTTTATAGACAGCTAATAACCTGTTCTTGATATATGTCTTCCATAAGGAAGAACCTTCCATAGTACATTGCTGCATTAATGGCATCTTGTTTTGTTTTGTTTTTTAGTTCATTGCATCCTTTCTGTGCTAGTATTGCGTGTCTTTGGTTATGGCATTGCTCTCTTGCAAACTCTAAATGTAGTAGATGGACCTTAAGGCCTTTGTCTTTATTTTATTTCTTAGCCCTCCCTTCTCAGGTGACTATAGTAAGGCTCCATTTAATGTCATAAGTAGGTTCTTGGAAACTGAGAATTTAAGCCATAGATCTGTAACAGAACCAGGTCCCCATAAACATCGTTTGGTTCAACATTAGCCAGGATTCTTTCTTGCTCATCAACCTTATAGTGAAATGATGTTGAAGGAAATGTTATATGATGTCTTTCTTTTGGACTAGTTGGTGGGTGAACACTTGTATCATTTGTCATCCCTTTTGTACCTTGTAAGTATTCTTTTGTATACTCAATTGTGACCAAAAAAACAATGAAAAAGAATCAGTTAAGTCTTTAAAATGGTGTCACATAGAAAATAACCCCCAAAGTGGCATGTTCCACCTTCCCTCTGTGTAGACCAACTGTGTGATCTTTAAAGTGTGCTGGAAGTGACTTAGCTTTGAACAGAGACTGGGTGAGTTCCCTTGAACTCTCATTCAAAAACCCAGACAGTCATGTGAGGAATGGCTCTGACAGCCCATTGTATTCCCCCCACATCTCAGATAAGTTAAGCCACTGTTGGCGGCTGTGCATGTTAATGGCATTGCTCTTTTAAGCGTTCAAGTTAATTGTAATTGTTTGCATTGTCAGGTACTTGTATGGGTTTTAGAAAACTAGCTTCAGCAACACTCTCAAAGATGTGGATGGAGCATAGCTTAACTCCTGTAACCTAGAGAGAGGAAATCAAGTGTGGCCAAGTGGATTTACCCAGCCTGTCTCTGCATTTCAGTGCTGCCTGTCCACCCAGTTCTTCAGTGTGAATTGTTCTCTCTGGGTTTCAGTTTCTTGGAAATATTAGTATATTCTACCACAGTTTGGTCATGATGACAGAGAATGTTTTTATGCGTGGTACTGTAACAAACTTCCCCAAATTTAGTGATTTAAAACAAGTTTATTACAGATTGTCACAGCTGTGTGAGTCGGACTTACTGGGAGGGTCTTTCTTGGGGTCTTTTATTTGCTTGCTCAGTGGGTAGGCTGGGGCTGGCCAGAGGAGGGACACTTGAGGGTCTTCTATGCAGTTACATAAGGTCTAATGTTAACGAGCTGCAGTTCCAACCTAGGGCTGGGCCTCCAAGGAGGCCCGATTTGTCCGACTAGCAGTTGATTCTGGCTGCTGCTAGGGCTTAGCCGAGGCTTTCAGAGTAGAATTCCAGCATGTAGCCTCTCTGTGATGGAAGTGTCTCAGTTTGGCAACCAGGTTCCAAGAGGGCGTGTCCCCTAGAGTGACTATCTCCTTGGATAGGTAGTGGGAGCTGCCAGGCCCGTTAAGGACCATGCCTGAGTTTCTTCTCTGCGGTATTTTATTAGTCAAAGCAGCTGGCCCAACCCAGATTGATTGGGATGGAGAGAGAAAGTCAAAAGATTATGTGGGCAGGAAGAGATAAAATTGGGGCCATCACTGGGAAGTACAGTCTGCCAAAGAGAATCCCTTCCAGAGATAGTAAGTACCTGAGATCATTTTTGTGCCAGGAGCCTAAGTTAATTTTACTTTTTAGGCCATTGGAAACAAAATTGACACAAGTGCAAAACGGAAAGTCCTGTTGTGTGCAGGAGACAAGTTAAAATAAAATTGCCACAATATGTCACCCCCACTCAATACCACAGGCTCATGGGAGGTTCCTGGAGCCAACCACCCCTTCTGGTGGTTGAGGACATTTAATTGATCGTTACCGGGTACCACTCCCAGGGGCTTCTCTGGGTAAGGTGTGGTGTGGCAGCCCCTACCCACAGGTGAGCACCTGCTGTGAACTAGGGCTCCCTGCACGGCAGTTTAACTGTTGTTTTGCTGTCACCATCATGCCCAAATAGTCTTTCACATTCCTACTTGAAATTTTTCCCAAAAAGGAGAATTGAAAATGTTGTGCCCCATCTTCACAGCCATGTTTACACACATGCCCAGTCTGTAGTCCTGTGTTTTTCAGGTTTGCTAGAGGATTGTTTGTTTCAACTGATTTTTTTTAAACCTTGTTGTTTTGAAATCATTTCAGTGCTACAGAAGATACTGCAAAACTAGAAGAATCCCTACATGCCTTTTAATCCTGCTAACATTTTATCCATATTTGCATCGTCTTTCCCATCCCCCACTAACTCTCCATCGATCACCCACTAACTCTCCATCGATCCCCTACCCCGCAATGCACAGATTTTTCCCAGAACCATTGGAGAGTGAGTTGCAGGCATTTGTAGCCCTTTTCCCCTAAGAATGGAGACGTTCTTTTGAATAACCACAGCACAGTTGTGAATATCAGAAAATTTAAGTTGGGTATGATAGGGTTACTGTCTGTGGGTGCCAGCTCTCCCATTGAGGGCCCCTAGAGCATTTTTTCCTGGTCCAGGATCTGACCTGAGGTCCTAAGTTGCATTTCGTCATCTCGTCGTCTAGTGCTGCGGCATTTCTTCTTCAAGACCTTGATCTTTATGAGAAGCACAAGGCAGTTATTTTCAGGACTGTGCTTCAGTTTGGATTGGTCTGTTGTTTCCTTATGATTAGATCCAGCTTGTACATCTTGGACCGGAATTCCATAGGAGGGTTGTTGGCGTCTTCCTGGTGCATCATGTCAGGAGGCCTTGAGGTCGGCTGTTTTCGTCCCTGGCGGTGGTGACGGGTTAAGGTGGTACCCACAGGCTCTTCTGGTATAAGACTGCTCTTTTTCTTCCTGGGAAGCAATCCACTGGGACCATAAACAGACTTTTTATAATGTTAGCCGAGCTATGCTGATGCTGCCACAGACGCCTCCCCTCCCGCAAGCAGACTGATCTCTGCGTCTGGAGTCGAAAGGCTTTGGAGAAAACAACTACATCCCAGGATATGGAGGAGAAAAGTCCTTTGGGGTTCTGCTCTGCAGAAAACTCAGGTTCAGAAGCATGGCCCCCCTCTCCCCAGAGTTATTCTTGTGGCTTTTCTTACAGAGGTGTTTATATTTCCTGTGGGTCGTGGAATCTCAACAGATAGTCTAGTCCAGCCTTATGCACCAGGAAGGCCTATCTCTACCAACAAAACTTGTGAATCCCATTTCTGAGGTTTTAAGTCCTTGGCAGTATTGGACTTTTAAAACTCCAAGTGGAAAAACTGTAAAAAAGCAACAGGAAGAATCAAATGACTTGGATCTCATCTATTAACATATCATGGGGAGGGCCTACCCCGGTGTCGCAGCGGGTTGAGCACAGCGCTGTGAGGCTGTCTGCAGCCTCTGCAGCGTGGGTTCGATTCCCGGCCAGCCAGGGAGATTCCCACATGGTGCGGCGGGCCTCTGCTCTCTTGCCCGCTGCTCCCTTCAGCAGTGCTTTTGGTTTGTCTGCCTGTTCTGCTCCCCGCTCTGTCTCTGGTGAATCCTCTCACCCTCCTGCAACTCTGGCCTTTGCCTCAGCTATTGTATAAATAAAAAATAAATCTTTTTTAAAAAATAATATCTCCTTGGGAAAGGTCATTTAAGCACTTTGGACTTTGGTTTTCTTACCTGAAATATAATCATAATTTCTTTTTTTTTTAATAATAAATTTTATTTTTATATTCCCCATACAATTGCACCCCCCCATTCTGACCCCAATCCCTCCCCTCCCGCCCCCACCCCCCAATAATCATAATTTCTCACCTCCTAGGTTATTGTGGTGACCAAATAGATTCTTATTAGACAAGAAGGTATTTCAAACTAAAGCTCTTGTTTAGTTTGTGTTTAATTTTTCTCATCAGCCAAGACACTTCTTTCTGAAAAATCAGGGTGGGGGCAGGGTAGAAGTAGCTTTGCTAGACTTTATTTGGCTTGTAATAGTGTGAACAGGTCTGGCCAGTATGTTGGACCTGTCAGACCAATATTACCTGGGCCACCACGCCTATGCTGAGCAGTCCTTACAGGCACCTGGCAGGGTGCTGTGTCCAGGAAGGGAGGCAGTAGTGCAGCATAAACAGAAAATTCCACAGATAAGGAGATAAAATCAGGAACTTTAAGATCCTAGTCTGTGTTTTGGTCACTCGCTGTAAAAAAAAAAAATCTTTGACTTGCCTATAACTTTCCAATTTGGAGGTCATGTATGTGTGTGTGTGTGTGTGTGTGAGAGAGAGAGAGAGAGAGAATTTTTACTGATTTATTCTGTTTATTGGGCAGGGACTGGATAGGGAAGTATAAATAAGCTGCTTAATAGATCGAGTTTTATTCCAAGTAATCCACCCTTCTCAGGTAGAAATTATTTTTAGATGTGTGTTCATGGGTAACTGGCCTGGTTTCTTTAAAATAGAACCTCACATTCTGTGGTGTGAACAGAACCCCCGCCTGACTGTTCTGTTGAAGTAAGTTGAAGCAAGCCTGCTTAGGACTTGCCAGCCTGAGGCTGTCAGAACCTCCTGGCGAGTGCAGCCTCTTCTCCTTAGGACAGTAATTCTGCCCTGAATTTCCCTCCGCAGGCTCTGAGCACAGCGACTGAGGGGGTGACTTCATCACATGCCATTTTTCTCTCATAGTGAGCTGTTTAAACCAGACCCAGGAGTTGTTGGGGTGCAGATGCTGGCTTCTGGCTGCTCAGGCAGGACCAGGGGAGTGGCTTGGACCTGCAGTCAGTTCAGGCTTCTTACCCACTCCTCCTAATCCAGCCCTGGGGACCATCCTGGTGGCTGCCATGCCTGCAGAAGGGCACTGCATCCAGCAACCCTTTCATGAGTAGAGGCGCTAGCTCATTGCAGGCCCCCGGGACAGAGTCCATCTCTAGGCAGAACTCAGTGTCACTCAGAGTGTGGGCTCACGCAGGCAGCGCCCAGAGAGAGAACCTGAAGACTGGACTGCCTGTGCCCAGCCCCTTGGCCCAGTCTCACCAATCAGCAAACGCATACTCACTCCTTGGGGAGGGGGATAAGGGTGAGGGCGAGGAGCAGGTGATGTTTTGCCAGTCTTTCCAGTGCCAGGAATTCCTACTTTATGCATCAAGGTAGGAATGCTTTGGGGGAGAGCGTGTTTCCATCACTCTCACCTGCCGTGGCCAGCACCAGGAGCGGGCCTGTAAACAGGAGCGCGTCGTTGGAAAGCTGACCTGCATCTTTCTCAGCCACCTGCTACTTGAGGATTATTTTCTGGCTCGAGACCAAGTTGATCATACTTTTTTCCTTACCATCAGGATCTGATTAGGTGACTTTTTAAGCCTCTGGTGAGAAACTGACCTTTAATATTAGCCCGAGTGGCTATTTATATTGCTGTTTTTATAGATCAAAAGCATTTGAATGTTATTTTCATATGGTTCAACCCACTATGGGATTGAGGGTGACAGTTTGTAATTTACGTACAGATTATGTTCTTACAGGATCTCAGTGTAAAGGCCGAATCCCTGTGTAAACCTCTGGCTAACCTCAGCATCTGAAGCTAAGTTATCTATGTTGTCAATAGCCAGCCTTACCAGAAGCAAGGCCTCGGACCCTCTGCCCAGACAGAAAAGCTCCTGCATTTGAGTTTTTTTTTTTCTTTTTTTGTGGGACCCTTGCCGGTGGCCGGGGAACAAACCGGCGCTGCAGAGGCTGCGGGCAGCCTCGCAGCCCAGCGCTCAACCGCTGCGCCACCAGGGGAGGCCCAAAAAGCTCCTGCATTTAAACTAAGTGGTCGGTTTCTCACCAATGGGGTAGAAATGGGCTCATCCTCAGCTTTTGTGTCTTACCAATAGTCAAGAAGGAGTCTTTTAAACCTTAAATGCCAAAAAGACACCCCCTTCCCTACCCCTTGACTGACCGTGTACCTCAGCAGATACGGAGGACCCAGGTGTCACGTATACTACTCAATAAACTGGAGTTAAAAACTGTAAAGGAACTGGGACCCCTTGAGAGTCACGCTGAGTGAAGTAAGCCAGACACAAAGGGACAGATACTGTATGACCTCACTTACATGACGTACGCAGGACAGTCTGTCTAGAGGCAGGACGCAGAAGAGCGGTTTCCAGAGGCTTGGGGAGGTCAGAGTAGGGAGTTGAGTTCATCGGGGCCAGAATGCTGGAGACGGTGGTGGTGATGGCTGCGCCACCGTGAGTGATGGACTTAATGCCGCTGAACTGTGCACTGAAAAGTGGTTATGTCACATGGGTTTTTCCACAACAAAAAAAAAGAGAAAAGGGAGCCAGTTTGTCCGTCGTCATATACTGAAGCCAGGTCCAGCCCTGGTGTTGCTGTCAAAAGAGGACGTGGGAGTGCCTACCACCCCGTCCTTGGGTGGTCACAGACTTGAGTGAAATTAGGACATGGTGTCACCAGATGGGCTTCCTAAGACCCCGTCCCGCCCGCCAGGCCCACTTACGGATACATGTTTGGGTGATTGTATCTCAGGGACTTTTAAGGGTGTGCCAATTCTTACATTTGTTCTCCGTGAAGGACAAAATTATTGCACAATTTGGACCCCGGCACCTTAGGAACAGAGAGTTCTGTGGCCTAGCCAAGTCATTATCTTGTGGCGTATTTTGGTTTCTCAGGACAACTGCAAAAGCATATCCACAGTCTCCAAAGAATGTGAAGCCACCATACCTGGGATCTCCGGGGAAATACCGCAGCCCAGCCTTTCCCAACCAAGAGACTCCCAAGAAGAAAGCTGAGAAGGAGAAGAGCAACAAGGAAAGGGAGGGCACCGTGGGCCCGCAGGCGCTCAGCCCGCCTGGAGAGGAGACTCCTGAGAAGCACGTGGCAGACAAGCACGTCACGGAGAAGCACGCGGCCACAGGAGCAAAGGCTGAGAGCGGTGCAGGTAGGGCCTCCTGCCAGCACTGGCCTGGGCCGGCCTTCCCAGGTGGTTCTCCCTCTAACCTGACCCGTGTGGGAGTCTTGTGCTGGGGGTAGGGGGGTTTATTCCCTGGCACAGCTTCATGCCCTTCTGCTACTTTTGTGGGCTTGCGCTTTGCTCCTGACTCTTTCCCCTTGGTCCCTGGAGGGTCCACTGGAGGAAGAGACTTAGAGGCCGACGCCATTCATAGCTCTGGAGGCTGGGGTATCGGGGTGCTGAGCTGCAGCCAGCCAGCATCTGCACTTCTACGGAGAGGGGCTTACTTTAGCCTTTTAAGCTTCAATGAGAGACACGGGGAGTTCACCCAGCTGGGGGCAGCCATGGGAGCGCAGCCGCTGTTCAGTTTCTCTTGATCTCTTCCTCTCGTGCAGCCTCAGGGAAGCCCCCAGCAGGCACCACCGATGCAGAGGAGGCTTCGAAGATCCTGGCTGAAAAGAGACGCCAAGCTCGACTGCAGAAGGAGCAGGAGGAGCAGGAGCGGCTGGAGAAGCAAGAACGAGATAGGTATGGGGCGTGCGGCGTTTCGTCATGGTCTCGTGTAAAAAAGGCTTTGGTACCAAGAGTAATGCACCTTTCTGCAATTTGAGTATCGGTACAACTTTGGCTGAAGTCTAGTGTGCTTGCAGTGTTGAGGAGGCTGCAACTTCTGTTAGGTGTGGTGGACAGTGGTGGGCCTGCGTTCCCCTCGTGGGACCTGCAACCACGTGGCTCCTTCGTCAGTGTTCCTGGCAGCCCCTGTTCCTCTCGGACTGACCGGGCCTTGTAGAGCAGTCACGGGAGTTTGAGCTTTGCTTCTAGCTTCTCCCTGAAGCTACAGGGATTGTGGATGTAGCTGTCTTGATTCTGTCCTAAATTGTGTTTTTTTCCCCCAAATTACCCTAACTCACACCCTCAAATGAGAGAGAGGAAGGTGGGCAGAGGCCCTCAACAGTGTGGATGCCAACCTCATCATCCACAAGGAACCAGGTACAGGGACTCCCACCTGGAGCACGACAGAGGATGTCATGGCAGTACCCTTACACTTTGGGGTGTCAGAATCATCCAGTAAAGGTGCACAGGCCTGGAAGGCTTGTGCTGCCACACGGGCTTGTTCAGTCTGAGAGCCTTGTCGTGTTCCTGCCAGGACACTTGGTCAGAATACAGACAGTTCTGCCTTTTCTGATTTTTTTTGAGAAGAGGGGGTGTTGAAGGACATGGTAGATTTTATCATTAAATCTATCATTAAATTGATAAAGGGAGCTTTTAGGATAATCAGAGTGCAATCCAGTGCTGTTTAGAGAATTGATGTGATGGAAAGCAAGCCTGCTGCAGCACTTCCAGACCAGCACTGGCTGTAGAGTAATAAATAATGGAATGTTTTTGATCCGTAAGTGACCTTGACAGCTCTTTTGTGGTCTCTGATTACAGGTTTACTGATCTATTCTTTTTAAAAAGGTATGGAGAAGGCTAAGTCTGGCTGATCCTGTCTTTAGATTCTGGAGTTCTTTGATTACTTTCTTACCTCCAGCCTCTTGTCAGCAGCGACAGATCTTTCCTTTGAGTGGTCTGAGCTGCTTTGGGTGTGTGAAGGGAGGTTGGGGAGATGAACATAAATCACAGGACCTCAAATGACAGGCTTTGTTAATTGCAGGCCCTATGTAGGTGAGCGACATGGTTGCTGCTGTGAGCGTAGGCAGATGAAGTTCTTTACTTTCCAGCCACCTCCCTTTCACGTTTCCTTCAGAATCCAGCTCCTGGAAGAATGGATTCTACTCCATCTTTATTTCCTCAGTTGATAGTCAAGTTAGGTGGCCCCCACGGCAAGGTCACATAGCCAGACCAAAGCTCCCCACTGTCCACACAAGAGTCAGCATGCAGTGTCAGTCGTGCCCCGGTGTCACACTGCCAGTCAGCTACACACTGCAAGATGAGTAGGTGCTCATGACTTTTCATGGAGGGGGAAAGTGACGCACACATGCACAGGAAAAACATCAGCAATGTAGAAACAGGTTTTTCCCTCACTGCTTAGAGCTCTTTATCATCACATCACAAACCATTCATCTGTGAATAAAAAAATGTCTAAATACCATTTAATTTTCACATAGCCAATAATAAAAGCTAAAATAGATTTGTAGGGCCTCCCTGGTAGTGCAAGGAGTTAAGCACCACACTATGAAGCAATCCATAGCCTCTGCAGCATGAGTTGGATCCCCGGCCAGCCAGGGAGCAACCCACATGGCGCTGCTCTCCTCAGCAGTGTACTTCAGTCAGTCTGCCTGTTCTGTTCCCCACTCTGTCTCTGGTGAATCCTCTCACCCCCCCCCCCATACCTCTGGCCTGTACCCCAGCTCTTGTATGCATAAATAAATAAATCTTTAAAAAGATAGATTTGTAAAGATTGCCAAAAATAAATGGGAACTAGATGCTTGAATTTCTGTATTAAAATGTTACATTTCAGGGCCTCCCCTGGTGGCGCAGTGGTTGAGCGCTGGGCTGCAAAGCTGCCCGCAGCTTCTGCAGTGCCGGTTCGATCCCCGGCCGCCAGGGAGGGTCCCACATGGTGTACAGACCTCTCCTACTGCGCCCACTGCTCCCCTCAGCAGTGTATTTCGTTCGTCTGCCTGTTCTATTCTAGCTCTGGTGAATTCTCTCACCCTCCTGCGCTTCTGACTGTACCCAGTGCTGGTATAAATAAATAAGTCTTTTTTAAAAAAAAAGTTACATTTCAGGGGCCTCCCTGGTGGCACAGGGGTTAAAGACACAGCGCTATCAAGCTATTGCCACCCACTGCAACATGAGTTCAATCCCCGACCAGGTAGATACTTACCCAACATGGTGCAGCAGACCTCTCTTGTCTCACCCACTGCTCCGCTTAGCAGTGTATTTCAGTGGATCTGCCTGTTCTGTTCCCCACTCTGTCTCTGGTGAATTCCTGCCCCCCATCTCTGGCCAACACCCTAGTTTTTGTATGCATAAACCTTTTTTTAAAAAAGGTCACATTTCTATTCATTTCCGTTAAGTATTTTTTTCAACTTGGAGCTTTCAGAAGTCACATACCAATAGAACCCAAAGTCAACTTTTTAGCTCGTAGTTGCTGCTCCTAAATTGCTGACTGGCATAGTTGTGGCCAGTAGACATGTGTAGTGTTTTCTTGTGTAAGTTGGCTTTAAATACTTTTTCTGCTTAGTGTTTAAGGAAATATCATTAAATAAGATGTGATCATTTGTAGATTGACTAGGGAACATACATGTCTTTGTTACGGTATGTTCACAAATCAATACATCGTTACTCATTGTATAACACAGATTAAACTCAGCCCTGGTTAATTTTTTTTATGTAAATGTACCGGCTAGAATGGATTTCTAGGAAAGATGAGTTATTTTCCCAAGTTTGCTTTTTGAGCATGTTGTTGGCTTCTAACAGTTATGTTCTCAACAGGCTGGAGAGAGAGGAATTGCAACAAAAGGCAGAAGAGGAAAGAGTTCACCTAGAAAAGGAAACCCATAAGCAGGAAGAAGAAAAGAAGCCGCAGGAAGAGGAAGAGAAAAATAAGGTAGAAGAGGAGGCCAAGCAGAAGGCCAAGGAAGAGTTATTGTTGAAAGAAGAGCAAGAGAAGGAAAAGCAAGAGAAGGAAAATCAAGAAAAAGCCATGATTGAAAAGCAGGTACTGCATGAATCTTAAGTTGGGCTCCTTGAGGACTTAGTTAATATTGGGTAAAATCAGATACATTTTAATGACTTAAATATTTACTTGAGATTTTTCCTTAAATTCACTTAAATGGTCATTAAATATGAGTTAGTTTGGGCACTGAAAATGAAAATTGGTAGTATTCCCTGTATATCACTTTGGGTTTCCCCAAAGGCAGACCATGGTATATAAGAATTTGGGTACCAGTAGCTCACTTGGGAGAATGTCCCGGATCTTGGGTGGGGGTAGGATGAGGGGAAAGTCAGTGTAAGTACACTGATGGGTGGGCTAGTGTGGGCACCTAAAACCCACACCGTCTGGGACTAAGAGACTATGGAACATGCCTTAGTATTGCCCCTCTGAGGGGTGTGGAAACTAGGTTACTCATCTGCCAACTCCTATTCCTCATGGTTGAAGGTCACTCCTTGGGAAATTAACTTCCTGCAACTCCTGTCTACATGCACACTTCATGATCAGAGACTGCCCTGAGACACACAAAGACTGTGACCACTTATGGGAACTATTTGCAGGTGATCTGCATGGTGGGACAGGGAGATGAGTGAGTCCCAGCCATGTCTACTGTGTCTAGAGCACACTAAATCTGGGTTGGATATTGGAGCACATCTACCAGGGATGATGAGGCAAACAAATGTGCAAACCCCAGAGTTGTTTAGTGTTTTCTGAGCTTAAAGTCTCTGTCTTGGTTTATCTGTTTCTATCAGAAGGAAGCAGCAGAAGCAAAGGCCCAGGAGGCAGCTAAACAGATGCGTCGAGAAAGAGAACAGATCATGCTGCAGATTGAGCAGGAGCGACTGGAAAGGAAGAAGGTATGGGCCAAGGAAGACTTGGGATGAGGCAGGAAAAGGAAGTGAATCCAACAATTCTGAAATTGTTGGGTGGAGCCATCTTAGAATTATTGCTTAGGTCAAGTTCATTGACAGTCCAGTTCAGATCGTCTATATCTTTGCTAGTTTTCTATCATCTATTCTATCAGTTACTACAAGAAGAGTGTTAAAAAGTCCCACCTACCAACTGGAAGGGATTATTTAAGTGAAATAAGCCAGAAGGAGAAACATAAATACTGAATGGTTTCACTTATATGTGGATCAGAGAGAAACCAAACAAAGACAAACTATAAGACCAATGCTTGAAAGCAAACCATAGATCTGAGACATTCGGGAGGGGAGTCGGAGGGGGTGAGGAGAGCTCAGTGGAATATGGTGGAAGACTATGTGTGCCTTGATGGCGGTGACCACACCTGAGAGGATAAATCCCATGTTATGAGAAAATAAACAAGGATGTTTTCAAACAAAAGTTACATCCAGGTCAGGTGGAAAAAAATTTTACACGCGCACACGCACAAATTTTTGATACATTTATTTTTATATGTGTGTGTACATATATATATATTTTTCAAATTGTTAATTTTCCTGTTGAATTGATCCCTTTATCAAAATTGAATGTCCTTTTTAATATGTAGTAATGCTTTTTGTCTTAAGTGTATTCTGTGACTTTTTATGATTTAACATTTGCATAGCAAATCTTAATATTGATTTACCTTGTACCTATGTATGTCCTTATAAGTGTGTTTCTATTAAACAATATGCAGTCAGGGTTTTGATCCAATTGGCAGTCTTTGTCTTTTAATTGTAGTGTTTAATCCATCTATATATAATGTAATTATGGATAAAGTTGTCCTTGCTTAAGCCTGGGCTTTGTACTGCTGCAGGTCTGGAAGCTGGGAGATCAGTTTGTGGTCTTCCCTCCTAACCTGCACCTCGGCCAGGCTTTCTGTAGGGTGGTCCTCTTGAAAGGCAGGTGATGGTTTGTTAATTTTTAGGTAACTTTTAGAGAGGAAGAGAGAGATGGGATGTAAATTCAGTGTTGACTCTAGATACTTATTAGTTCACTTCTCAAGTGTTTGACCTTCATAGGGCAGAGGTGTACGTCTACAGAACCAGTGGGAAACCTTTCTATACTTACCCTCTGCTGATGCTTCTTTTACAAGTTTTCTGAGAAATATGAAATTGCATATACATCTAGCTACTTTCATGTTTTTGGTCTCGTCATCCTCTACCTGGTTCTTTTTGGTTTCCAGAGAATAGATGAAATCATGAAGAGAACGAGAAAGAGTGAGGTGTCCCCAGAAGTGAAGGTAAGCATTCAGAGCACCGTTTTAATAGTTTCTGTACTGAGAAGAAAAGAATAGCTAAGTACATCCAGTGAAACTGTAGATTTTGAAGAGAATTAGCCCGAAAAAAACAAGCAAGCTCTTCCTGCTTTGTTCCTGGCTAAATTAAAGAGGAGGCCATACGTGCCTAAAAGGAAAGCGGAGTCTGAGAGAGGAGTTTCAGAGATAGTAATACAAAATTTCCTCATAGAATTGGAGATGGGGATGCAAAGAGAGGCACAGTAGTCCATGAATAAAAAAGAGAGTGGTGACATTAATTAGGGAGACACAGCTGATTTGTAATGAGCTCAGAAGATTCAAAGAATTACCATGGAACAGGCAGATGGCCCAGCAAGGTTCCAAATACCCACTGATGCGTTTTAAAAGCACTTGTCTTTCTTTTTTTTTTAATTAGCAAAGGAAAAATCAATTTAATAACATACATATGGAGATGTGTGGTCGTTATGTATGTATGTGACCTGGTTCTAAATTCTAAAGAGTAACAGGGCAGACCGGGGACATTTATCCTGCACTTAGGGTCCTGGGACATCTAGGAGAGAGAAGGGGAGCTATCACGTGACAGACAAGAAGGGGGCTACTTCATCCTTACTCTGAGAGTAAAGATGCAATTCTCAGAGAGGACACATTCACTGATAACCCACACCTGAGTGACACCTCCTAAACAACATTCTTCTGTTGTTTGAGTGGAGTTGATGGTTGCTTCTTTGAGTAGAGGAAGGGCAAAGACAGGACATAGCTTCTCTTAGCTTCTGGGGCCTTCTCTGCTTTTGACTTGAAAGAGTGTATTTTTTAAGTAATGGTAATAGACTTGCTGAGGCCCACAGGGCCTCAACTGACCTCTAGTTTCCCATATCAAGGCGACATTTACTGGAAGAGGCCTCTGGGCATATTCTAAAGCACATTCTTCCTAAGTGAAGTCAGCCTTCCCTCTTTTCATCCACCCTTTGTTTTCAGAAAGAAGACCCTAAAGCAGAGCTTCAGTCTGCTGTGTGTGTGGAAAATAAGACAAAACCAATTGCTCCCAACAAAATAGGTGAGTATGAGGTCTGGTTCCGGTTTTTTTTTTTTTTTTTAAGATTTATTTATTTATGCATACAAGAACTGGGGTACAGGACAGAGGTGTGATGGGTGAGAGGATTCATCAAAGACAGAGCGAGGAGCAAAACAGGAAGACTGACCAAAATACACTGCTGAGGGGAGCAGCGGGTGAGGCAGGAGAGGTCTGCTGCTCCATGTGGATAGCTCCCTGGCTAGGGATTGAACTCGTGCTGCAGTGGCTGTGGATAGCTTCATAGGTTTTTAACCCCTTGCGCCACCAGGGAGGCCCTGGTTCTGGGTTCTTACCTTCAGCAGAGGAGGGCTCGTGGCTCTCCTGGGGGCAACAAGCAGCCCATGGGTCCCAAGAGTGTTGCTGCTGGAAGGGGCCTGTGAGCATCCACCCTGGTGGGATCTCCATCCCCAGCACAGGTCTGTCGGGTCCATTCAGAAACCACTGGTTCCCCAGTTCCCCTATAATCCTGTAGCAGGAGCTCAGCTGTCTACTGGCCCCTGACGCATTCCGGGATCTAAACTGTTTGCTGACCACATTCTATCAGAATATACTGCTGTTGTTAAGGCAGTTCCCCCTGTCTTCCAGCTGTTTTCTGTCATATATATTTAAAACTCCTTGGGTTTGAATATTTCATGGCAGCCAAAATCAGAAAAGGCATATCCATTCAAGAGTCAGTCTTTACATCCCTCCTTTGCCTTCTGGCTCCAGAGAATGTTCCAGGAGCCTGGGAGACTGTCCAGTGTATGTGCCAAGACTCCTGGGTGGGTCTTAAGCCATCAGGAGCCCTGCACAGACATCACTGATGCGTTGTTACAGTAAAGCAGAGGGTCCAATTAATTGCCTTGATAAGTGTTTCCTCTGTTATTTCATTATCTTGGATGTTTTCTGATTAACAGAATGACTCTGTGTTTTCAATCAGAAATCAGTTGCTTGAACACCTGCCAGGAAGTTAATGGTGTGGGGAGCTCTGCCCCAGAAAGTTTTCCCCGAGATGTTTTCTCTAATGGACTTAAACCAGTTGGGGGACTTGTTCATCTGGACACCCTGGATGGAAAATCGAACAGTCTAGATGATTCAACTGAGGAAGTTCAGTCTATGGATGTGAGGTATGTCAATTTCCTTGGCATTTAAGCCTCATCTCTTGTCCCAAAGACCACCATGTCTTGGTTGATTTCTTCATCGTTCATGCGCCCACAGGTAAAGAGGGTCAGAGTGGTGTCCATTGTCTCATGATTAAGAAAACTTAGAATTGGAGACCATACGGAACTGATTTGCTTTCAGATCCTCAAATCTTAAGGAATTCTTAAACTGCTAATTCTTAAACTGCTGTATTAGTGGGTGATATCAACTGGTAAATATATCCCAGACAAAAGAACCCCATCAGCACGGGTTGGGGCGGAGGCGCAGGGACAGAGAGCACCTGGGGCGGGGCAGTTGGAGTGGGGTCTGCTCTCTCACTTAGGAGGGGTTGACAGTGTTTTGCCAAAGCTGTTCCAGGGCCCCGGCCTGCCAGAGCTAACCCTTTTCCCCTTGGCTGTGAATGCTCAGTTCTGTCCAGGGGGGCTGGAAGATGGGGACCAGCGACTTTCCTAGGGTGCATGGATTGTAATTTCCCCACCTCTTGCACCCAGCTTTGAGCCAGATATGCTGGAGCAGGCTGGTCATCAGGAGAGCAGGTCCTGCGCAGACCCCCGCCTGGGTCTCTCTGCCAGCACTGGGGTAGGCCTCCCCAGACTAGTGCTAGCTGCTCTACCCCCACTACTTCGAGGAGGCAGCTGTGCTTCTTGTTCCTGCTTCATGTCTCTGGTGGGGGCTGAGGGAGGCTGGGGAGCAAGACCTGGTGCCAACCAGGGTTCAAGGAAGAGAAGGGCGCTGTGTGAGTGCTGACTTGGCCCTTGTACCTCTGCATTTAAAGAGGTCAGTCCTGGAGGCCGAGCCCAAAACCCGTGGCAGAGTTCTCTCAGCCCCATGCTCTGCCCAGCTGTTTCCAGTCATGGGCTGCGCTTTTGCTGTGGAGACAGTTTGCCAGGGCTCCAACCACCAGAAGGGGTGTAAGGGCCACTGTTGCCCTTTATCTAGGTTCAGGTGTGAGACAGGCCCATCCTCTAAGCTGCAGCTTAACTGGTTTGTCTAGATTCTTCTCTGAGATCTTATTGAGGAAGGAAAGAACAGAGGAACTCTGGCTACTAAGAGAGACCGGGTGACAGGGGTGACAGGCCCCCACCTCCCTACTGACATAGATGAAACTCTTCCTTCCATTTCTATAAAGAGGAGCGAGGGAGGCCCTGCTGGGGAGGAGCCTGAAAAGTCAGTGTGGAGTGGAAGCCTCACTCTGGAGAGGGGACAGAGGGAGAGATGTGCTCTGGGGGTGACTGGGTTGTTGGTGAGGTTCTGACTGAGGCCTCACTCAGGCGGTTCCACAGGAACTTCTCCCCAGCACCATCACTTCATGTCAGAGCACCCTGACAGGCAGAAATGGTGGTTCATCCCCTTTTGCAGCGGGGGAAACTGAGGCCAGGAGAGGAAGAGTGCTCACCCGGCAGCACTGCTGGCAAGAGGCAGCGCCAGGACCCTTTCCTCAGCTCGCTGTTAACTTCTCATGCATGCTTCCCTTTCTGTCGCCCATGGTGAAGGTTCTGCACTTGCTCGACTTCTTTCTAGAAGAATGCTGGTGCCCACAGCAGTGATCTTTCTAGTAGAATGCTGGTGCCCACAGCAGTGATCTTTCTAGTAGAATGCTGGTGCCCACAGCTGGTGCCCGCAGCAGTGATCTTCTTTCTTCCTGTGGACGGTGTGAGCTCTACCTTCACAGCCCTGCTCGTCCACTTCCTTGTGTCTTATTGTTATAGAGCAACCCCGATATTAAACGGGTTCCTGGCTGTGGGTCCTCACCCGCGCGCTTTAAAGGGACCGCTTTTCCCCCTAACATTATCAATGTGTCAGATTTTAACTAACTTGTATTTTTTACAGTGTGCTACATACAAGTGCTGCCTCAAAACTCACCTCCTCTAGAAAGAAATAGTATAACAATATATTACAAATATCTGTCTGTTTCTCCTTCTCTCTCCCCTTCTCTCTTCCTCTGCCACCCCAGCCCTGTCTCAAAAGAAGAGCTTATCTCCATCCCAGAATTTTCCCCAGTGAGTGAAATGATTCCTGGGGTGTCTCTGGACCAAAACGGAACTGGTCATGCCCGAGCACTTCAAGATCTCTTAGATTTCACCGGCCCCCCCATGTTCCCCAAGAGATCCAGTGAAAATCTCAGCCTGGATGACTGTAACAAAAACCTGATCGAAGGATTTAACAGTCCTGGCCAAGAAAATACTTTGAACACCTTCTGTTGACAAATACAACATCACTTTAATGAAAGGTACAGACTTTTGATGATAGTATAAATCTTAACACTCAGCCTCCGGGTGGTTGAGTGTATTTGAAAAGTGTAAACATGAATGTATCGTGATGTATACTGCAACACACATAGAACTGAGAGGGATTTCCAATAAATCCTTCCTATGAGAGCACTCAACACCACGCCCAGCTCGCCACTTGGGCTGTGTAGGTGGACAGGGTGAGAATGAGAACCCTGGCGAAAGGCCGCACCAGCCTGTCTCAAGTAGCACCTTTCGCAGAGGGCAGGAGGGAGTGCGCTAACATTGTTACGAGGGGGGGGTCAAGAAAATGACTTTCTCCCCTTGCTCAAACCAGTGACTTCCCACATTTTATCTGGAATTGTTTCTGTATATTGATGAGTCTTGGACCAAAAGATTTGCTGTTCTGTTGACCTGGTCTCGATCCTTTTCCAAGTAAACATTTTTCCTTGGATCACATCTGACGCCTCCCTCTCCCCTCCCACTGCAACTTTTGCCTTTTTTCATTCCAGAGTGCTTCTCGAAGCTCTTCTTACATGAGTTAGTTATGTTTGTGAGTTATAAACCTTCTGCATTGATGTGGCTGTAGTTATGTACACCTCACACTTGATTTACTTCCATTTGGGGCTTATTTTTGAGTGGTGAAAACATAATGATTCCAATTTTTCCTCCCATTTCAGACTCTTTAAAATGTTTTTATATTCTCAGGGTTCTCTCAGTCACTTTATTTTCTATGATGCTCCACTCCTATAACAGAACATCAATGCTGGGTATGACTTGGTCCAACCTTTCCATTTCTTGAATGAAGAGATAGGTTGAGGCCAAATGACCTGTTTTGTATACTCGTTTCTACCTGGCTTCAGACGTTTCCTGGAGACAACACATTTGGGGGTTCACATCTTTCCTTGCTCTTGGGAAAGTCGGTGTGGTGGGCCCTTTACATGTGAGAGGAAATGCAGGACAAATGATTTCCAGAGTAGACTGTGTCGCTGGTTTGGAAAAGCAGCTGCTAAATCTTGGGTACGCGCGCGCGCGCGCGCACACACACTCTCTCTCTCTCTCTCACTCTCCCACTCTCCCTCCCCCCTCCCCCTTCCCTCTTCCCTCCTCCCTCCGTCCTCACTTGAGCATTCTAGTTCCCTCACAGTTAGATGGCTTGAGATTTATTAAGAGCTTTCCTTTATTGTTGGCATACCTTGAGCATTAGATTCACTGACCTCACCATCCGCTCAGGACCAGCAAGTCCCCCAAACCTTGAGTATTCATGACTCCTCAGATCTGTTTCCTGCATCTCTACAAGTGGAAAATCCCCGTCCAAAAGTGGAAAAAATACGTTGGCTGAATAATCCCTCTCACGCTGCTTATGTATTTTCATTTTGCCATTAGAGTTTAGTTCTCAAATTCTTCTCATCCAAAAGCAGGGGATGTTTGGAAGCCTGTTAGGCGTTTTTGTTGCCACAAAGAGTAGGGAAGCACTGGCATTGGGAAAACGCACCTTGGGACACTACATACCTTGCAGCTGTAACACAGTCCCACACAGGATGCTGCAGCGCTTCCTTTGAGAGGCAGTGTACGAGCCAAGAGAAATAGAAGAACCAAGAAGGCAGAAAGTGCCAAGCTGTGTCATCATTTTAGCGAGAGAAAAGGGATGCTACAAACTGCAAACCACACAGTCTCTTCACTGGTCTCACCTGGTTTTGTTTTTGAATTGACACAGGTGTTTGGAGAACCCCTGAAGCTGCTGGTAGTCAGAGGGGCTGCCAGCTCTCTGAAGAAGCTTCCGTCGTCCTTAACCACTGGATTGCAAATTATTAGAGCGAAATGTAACTGCATTCTTAGTTAGTAGGTCAAAACACTGGCCGCTCTTGGTAGAAACCTTGAGGTGTCGGCCTTGTCCGGCTTTAGCGAAGTTTCACGTTCTGGTTCTATTTATGAGCTTCAGCTGCTGATAAAGCGCTTCCCATGCTGCTCTAGTATCCTTGTGACCCTCCGAATAACCGGAGTGACTATGGCCTGGAAATTCACCTTAGAAGCATCCTTATTCCCAAAGTTGGAGCGTATAAACATTTAGATGTCTTTTCTTGTAAATATTCTAGACATTCACCCAGACTCTACCTAAACATATCCCGAACTTGGGCGCATATCTCCTGTTTTTGTTTAGAAGGACAAGAAATTCAGAAGGGTTTCCCCCTCTCAGGTTTATTATCATGGAAGTTTCTGTCTAGAAGCTGTTTTGTATTATTACACCTAGCCACCTGCAAGATGTGTCGCCCCATGTTACTCTTTGGGGGGGCTAAAGGATTAAGTCTGGTTGAGGAAGGAAGCCATTAAGCAGTAGGGAATGATTTCTGCTCTCTTATGCATATTTTTCAACAAATGGGCACTTGAAGCTTGCAGCGACCTTTGCATGTTGCACCTCGAAAGCTCCAAGCTGCAGTCACTCCAAACCCTCCAGGCTGTTGGACTGGATGAAGCGTGTGCTCACCCACAGGTGGTTGAGTCTCACGGTGGTGGTGGTGGTGTTTTTTCCTCTTGGATCTTGGGGGGAGGCGGGGAGCTTTTGTTTGTTTGCACCTGTATTTGCTCAACTCTAATGAAACAAGGCACCAATGAAGCGAGATTCCTGAACTGGATCCAATATGTCACTTTAACAGACTTGAACTTAAAAAACACCCGAAGGGGGGAAAATGACGCTAGAATGTATACTCCACATCTCATGCTGTGTAATAGTGTCTTCTTCATTTCTTGTGGGGAAATGAGACTTTCAAATTAACATGACCCTTCTTTGAATTTTTTTTCCGCTTTTACAATAAAGAGCTTAGAAAGATCTGTGATTGAGAGATTTGCAATCAGAAGACATAAAGAAGTAATCAGTAGTAATCTTGTTCATTTTGTGCTTTTAAAACCAGCTACAGTTTAACTTATAGAAGCTGTGTATGTTTGTGTATGTGTATATACTAAATAAAATACATGCCGCCAATAATGCAGTGCCATGGATTTTGATGAATATGGGGGGAGATCCCTTATCTGACAAGCACACAGAAAATGATAGCATGGTCTGATTTTACAAAATGCCTCACCGTCTTTCTTGACTTCGCTTCATGTCTGTCTTTTGCGGTCTGTCGCACCTCACAGCACCACTGCGGCCGTGGAGATGCCCCACTTGCATGACGTGTACATTGTGTTGAACGTGAAACACATTTTCATTGAAGAGTCTGATGGTGTGCTAGTGTTTTGTTTGTTTCCTAGGCTCTATGAAGAAGTATACTGAAACCAAGCAAGAGTCTTAAAAACCTACGTGGGAAAAAACAAACCAAAAATCTGTGAGAAATAGAATTTAGAATCTAAATAACTATTTGGGACAGACCCAAGAGATGAGAGAAATTAGTGTGTGACGAGGCTGGAGGTGGGCCATTGGCACTTGGAGAAAGATAGCGCGAGGTTCAGTCTCCGGAGGGCCAGCCGGGCTGAGCACTGCTGATGGCTTGGGGTTGAAGGGCGCAGAAGCCAGTAAGGAAATGAAAAAGGCAGGAGTGGGGTCCAAGGTGTGAGTAGCAACTACAATTCAAGGTTTAAGTCGGGAAAATGGAGACGTCAGACTTGGTAGCGACCTGTGCGGGTCCGGAGCCGCCAGGGTGCCTGGGATGGGCTGCGATCTGAGGCAGTGGAAGCCATAACCTCTGCTGTCTGTGGGCTGAGCATCTGTGGGCGCGGACCTCAAAAGTCAGCATGTTACGAGTTCCTGCTGAACTCAGCGGCTCCGAGACTGCTCCAGTCGGTCTGTGAGGTAGGTAGGAGAAGGCTGCTTCCCCGAGGACACAGCTGGAATGTGGCAACGCTGGCTTTGACTCCCCAGGGCCTCAGCTTCGGTACTTTGAGGGGCGGTGACGGGCTCGTCTGCCCCCAAGAAGAGCACACGTTTTTGCTAAAGCTGGTGCTGTAGCCTCTAAGGACCAACGCCCCTGTCTGGAATCCTACCTCTGAGAGTGCTTTTTGAAGAAAACTATTAGAAAATACATTTTTTAACTCAAGGTATCATTCAGAGACCATAAAAATTCCCCTTTTTAAAGTATCCAACTCCACCTTGGGCATTTTCACAAGATGGTGCGGCCATCACCACTTTCTAATTCTGGAATGTTTTTGTCTGAGTGCTTTTCTCTTCCATTCAGCTACTGTAAGCAGCAGGGCTTGACTAGCATTCCTTCACGCTCCCCTTGCACCCGGGCGCAAGAACATGGGATTAGGAAAAGTCATCGCTAAACCAGGCATTTCCCTCTCTTCCCCCTGCAGTGGACCAGATGAGGTGGTGTGTATGAACTTAATGCATGCGAGCTGTTCAGTGGTGGACCCATTGTCTATGTAGATACTGAGCCGTATTCCAACACGGGCTCACCTGGTCAGATGCCCAGCACGGGCCTTTGAAGTCCGTGAGAGACATGGAGCAGGTAAAACTGACTTAAAAGGCTTATAAAATGCTGAGCCTTTGGAGGAGTACCTTTAACAGGGACCATCGGATCGGATCTGGTGGTGGATCCCCTCGCTCTGGTGTCTACTGGGTAGATGGCCCGTGTTCACCGGGAGGCAAGGAGGAGATGTGCTGCCTTTGCTCTTTTTTTGCCCCAAAGGTCCAAGTCAGGGTCCGTAGCAGTGGGCACTATGCACTTTGCAGGGATTCCCCCCTTCTACAGCCTAGTCTGGGGGGCACTTTGTAAAAGGCAAAGGAAACCGATAAGCTTCAGGTGTTGCATCTGGAGAATTTGTTCCCCTCCTCCCTTCACATTCTGTAGTAAATACTGGAGAAGCTTCTGTGTGGCAGCAAGGAAATGCCAACGTTTAATCTGAATTGGAACTGAGGTTGGTGTTGGGAGAAGGTCTAAAGTGGCCAGTCTCCTGGACTTCAAAGAAATTTTTTTCAAGAAATTATTAAGGCAATCTTTCCCCATCTCACCTTATCTCAGGAAATGCACAATGCAAGGAATTAAACATTTGCATAAAGTAACTTGGGATTAGAGCCAGCGGCTCTCTCTTGGTTGTACTTGTGTTATACTCACATTTTCCAGTTTTGTGTGCAGGTTTATCTTTGAAACAACTGAAGGTTGTCAACAAAGAAGGAATAGTTAGGAGGAGGCTAGCCCTGCAGAGAACTTGTTGGATCGAATGAAACCCCCGCACTGGGGCTCCTAGGTGATTTTAGAACAAATCGTATCTCACTGGTACCATGGACAAATTCCCTTTGTTCAGTGCACTTGGCCTTCAGAAGGTTCTCAAGAGCCTCCCCTGTATGATTACGGCCCGGATGGCTGGTTTGAAATATTCAGTGTCCAATGGTGGTAAGAAGTCACCAAGAATGTGGACATAAGGCCAAGAGAGAGCCACATGCTTAACACTGCCCAGGGGAGGTGACTTCCTGTGACCGACCTTGTCCATGGACTTGGCCACGCTGCAGGAGTTACTTGTAGACAAAAAGTTGCAGATATTTGTCCTGTAGAAAAGCTAACTCCAAAGGTTGTGTCTATTTGTTCCTGTAGGGCAATAAACAATTTTGTATCTAACTTGGCAATCTCATGCCAGCATTCTTTACCCCACGCAATACTACGCATGTGTTGCTGTATCTGTGTCCAGGTGCTCCTAACAGTTGGTTCTCATTGCATCTTCTGATCGAGCTTTGTTCTCCTTAATGAGTCAAAATACATTCTGGACGGGCCTCCCCGGTGGCGTAGGCGGTTGAGCACCCCACTGTGAAGCTGTCTGCAGCCTCTGTAGTGCGGGGCCGGCTGGGGAGATACCCACATGGCGCAGCAGACCTCTCCTGTCTCGCCCGCGGCTCCCCTCAGCAGTGTATTTCGTCAGTCTGCCTGTTCTGTTCCCTACTCTGTCTCTGGTGAATCCTCTCACCCTCCTGCGCATCTGGCCTGTATCCCGGTTCTGTATAAATAAATGAATCTTAAAAAAAATACATTCTTCTCACTGATAGCAGGAATCTAGAAAACCTAAATAAGGGACCAGGAAAAAGAATAGCTATAAGAAAGAAAAAATCAAAATCAACAAACAACTGTGAACCAGAGACACACTATGGGGGGGGGGGGCGGAGAAAGGAGGGATTGGGGTCAAAATAAGGGGGTTGCAATTGTGTGGGGAATATAAAAATAAAATAAAAAAAATACATTCTTGACACTTGCTCCTTATATATCACAAATTATGCTTTTAACCTTTGTAAAGTTATGCTTTGACAAGAAAAAAGCTGGAAATCCTCAGCAAGCTGTGGGAAATTTTGAACAGCTGCCACATGACTTTAAAGGTTCCCATTAAAGGTTGGTATAGTGGATGTGATGTGCCACCCAGAGCACATACCTCCCCGTTAGGACTGAGGTATTGTCCTCCAGATGCTGTCTCTGGCATACCTCCCTTTACTGAAGGAGACCGCCTCACCAAGGCTCAACCCCCTTACTTGGGCAGCCTTTGCCCAATGATGGGGCACCGTGGGTATACCAAGACCTTTTCTTCAATGTAGGGCAACCCAGAAAGCCTGTCCCAGGCTCACAAAGGCCTTTGTTTAGACTGCCCTACAGCCCAGTTTTTCCACCTCCTCCCTCCCCTCACCCAGCACTCTCCATGCACTTCCGGCCTGCTTCCTGTCTGCTTTTCCTGGACCCCGGGCCTGGGGCAGCTAGTGACGCGCTAAGGGCATGCATGCGTTCCTTCTCTGAACCTTAAGAAGGACTTTTTGAGATGAAGCACTGTTGCTGTGCTTGCTTTACCTTGAGGGCCAAGGTAGGTGAAGATGCTTGTCCAAGGTCAAGTACAGCTAGGAAGTGCATAACTGGGCTCCACACGTGAGACTTGCTTGGGAGCCTGTGCTTGTCCTGGGCACTCTCCACACATCCATGTTTGGGCCGGGGGAAGCACACAAGACCCAGCCCTGGAGGCGCTCTCCAGGCTTCGGTCTCCTGGTTATATTTGCAAGTTTCCCAATTGATCTAAACCAGCTTCCCTGGCCACAAATTGTTGCTGACTTTGCACTTTCCTGCGAATCCTCTGCTGAGGGCAAGTGATCTGCTCCAGCCAGTAGGACACCTGCATCTCCAACTGGGACTTTTTTCCTCATCCAGAAGGAAACCATGTCCTAAGTGCGCCCTTAAGCAACTTTGTGTGAATACACACCCTAAGCTGGGCCAGGCATTTTGCTAGGGTCAGGGATGGAGTAGAGAACAAGGTTAATGTCCTCACTTTCCAGGAGGCCAAGGTCCAGTGGAAAAGAAAGACAGCAAACTGATACTTGAAGTTACTATTTGCGATTGTGACGGTGATGAGGTCAGGCTTGCTGTTACAATTTTTTACATTATTACAGTTTGTGATGTGACATTTATTTGTGTGATTCTATGATTAGTGTCTATCTCCTTCCCTAGGAGAAGGACGCACCTCCTGCCAACAAGACTGCGCTATTCCTGCCACCAGCACAGGTATGCAGTAAATATTTGTTGCTGAGGAAATCTCTGAATTAAAATCCCACATTCTCTTGTGAGATGACAGTCTAAATCATCTGGTTTTTGTGTTTAGTTTGGGATCCCCAGCACCTGTCACAGAGTAGCCCCACAAGGAATACTTAGTTTTTAATGACGTACCATTGTTTTATAGCCAATGAAATCTTTGTTGAATGATTTTTTTTTTAATTGAGAATAAGTATACCAGTTTGCATGGCTTGACTATACATAGCAGGTTCCAATATTAAGGGCATTTATTAATATATTACAAGCTCCAAAGGCTCAGAGACGTCAGGATTGTGGGGCAGCGCTTAACTTGGAGAGTCTTGGCTCTTAAGAAGATTAATGGGGTTACTGTGGCACCAGCATCCCATCCTCATATCCTCATGATCAAAGGCCTGAAGAAGTCAGTGGCAGGCTGCTCTTTGTGGCATGCCCTCCTTTGATATAGAAACCTTTCCCAGAAGCTTCCCCCAGATTTATACTTTTCATTGGCCATTACTGGATCTGACACTGACCCCTAAGCAAATCACTGAACAGAAGGAGAGGATCTCATCGCAGTTAAGGTAACATTAACTTTGATAACAAAACTCTCCCCAATGCAGAATGGCTCAAATATAATAGAAGCTTTTTCTCCCTTATGTGAAACTCACAGGTGTGCCCCATCACAACTGCCCTCTGAATGGTAATTCAGGGTCAGGCTCTTTCCATCTTGTAGCTCCCTCATCTTCCAAGTTTACTAGGTTTTTCTGCATCAAGTCAACAGGAACTACACTTCCCAGCATCCCTGGCATTTGTTCTTGCCATTGAAATGTGAGTGGAAATAGTTTGGGTCCTTGAGGGGCCAAGGTGGTTGGGAAGCACATTGCTTCTTACCAGAAATACTGCTACACTGAGGGGAGAGTAATTTGGTGGAGTTAGTTGTCTTTGCATGACTGACTCAGAACAGAGCTGCCAGCAGGAACAGAATGTGAGCCGCCTGTGTGGTTTTCAATTTCCCAGGGTTGGCCCTGGCAAAAGAGGGGCAGTGCGTACTTTGTACTAGTATATAAACTACCCAGAGTCTGTGATGTTCTCTTTCCTACAATCTAAGGGAGAGTGAGAACAGATGAAACTAGACCACTACCTCTCACCATGCACAAAAATCAACTCAAAATGGTTAAAAGAACTGGACATAAGACCTGAAACCATGAAATATATAGAAGAAAATATAGGTAAAACACTACAAGACATACATCTCAAAAACATATTTAAAGACTCATCACCCAAAGCAAAGAAAGTCAAGGAAAAGATAAACACCTGGGATTACAGAAAACTGAAAAGCTTCTGCACAGCACATGAGACATTAACCAAAACAAAGAGACACCCCACTGATTGGGAAAAAAAGTCTTTGCACTCCATCCAACTGATAAGGGACTGATCACAAAGAACTCACACAACTCAACAAAAACAAACAATCCAGTCAAGAAATGGGCAGAAGAACTTAAAAGGCATTTCTCCAAAGAGGAAATGCCCACATGGGATGGAAGCAAGAGGAGGAAACAAGGCCGGTGAAAGATGATACATCAACTGTCATTACCAGTGTTAAGCAACATAACCAAAGTCAGAGAGTTAATGAAAGGAAAACTCACCTAGTTCTGTGAGTCCTGAGGCTGAAGGACTAATGCAAATGCTGATGGCATGAACGACACAATACAAACCATGGATACAGAAAAATCTGGGCCAATGATGTCAAGGGATGAGAAAGTGATTTGTCCTACTTTTCCTAATTATCTTAATCTTAAACCAACATTTAAAAAAAAGCTAGCCAGAAGGACGGCTAGAGATATGTGCCAGGGCAGCTGGCGGTGTCCCCAGAAACTGAGTCCCTCCAAAAAATGACAGTGACAGTGGACACTTGGCATAAGTCTGTATCAAAGCCTGCTTTGTTTTTTTTTTTTAACTTTACCTTTTTTCTGGTTTAAGAATTAGTAGCTTTATTTTTCATTTTAAAAGGACAGGTTTATTAGGAAACAGAGAAAGGAAAAGGGAGACACCTGCATAGACACAGGCAGGCAGAGAGCTGCCACTGCTGCTTTGCAAAGGGAAAAGGTTTGTGAAAAGAAACGCCCGCACAGTCACAGGTGGGAGGGCCAGTTGCCAAATTAGTAGCTTTAAAGCAAAGGAGCGACACACAAAGCAGTACAAAGCCATGAGATATGACTGCAGAACTGGGGCTACCAAAAAGAAAGGGTGGGAGTGGGAAGAAAAGGGGAGAGGGAGCCCAGTGGACTGGGTAGAGGATTCTGGAGGGTGGTATATGGTGTGATGGCGTGCGCGTGTAGCTGCGTGAACCTAAACTCCCGCAGCTTAAACATTCGATGTCAACATTATCTCAATAAACATAATTTTTAAAAAAGAGTTAGTGGTGGGCCTCCCTCGTGGCGCAGGGGTTAAAGTCTCAACGCTATTAAGCTATTGCCAGCCACTGCGGCCTGAGTTCGATCCCAGGCCAGGGAGGTGACCCACATGGTGCAGCAGACCTCTCCTGTCTCACCCAGTGCTCCCCTCAGCAGTGTATTTCAGTCCGTCTGCCTGTTCTGCTCCTCATTCTGTCTCCAGTGAATCCTCTCACCCCCTGCACCTCTGGCCTACACCTCAGTTTCGGTATGCATAAATAAATTAAAAATTCGGCCTTCCCTGTGATAAGGGAGGGTCAGAGGTGGTACTACTTGACAGCACGAACCCTGAAAGAGAAACCTGACAAGCAGTAAAAAGACTATCAGTGTCGTGTCACCAGACAAGGGAGCAGGCCCGGGGTACCTCAGCCCAGTCCCAATCTCCAACACAAAGAGGACTCCACAGACACCGGTGAGGGCAGGCAAGCAGTCGGAGTTTATTGATCAGTGAAAACCTAGACTTTCATCACCTTATACTGTTGTATCTCTACAATCTTAAATTTACAAATCCATTTACTGGCTCTCATAACCCTTATCCTTGCAATCGTATGTCTCCCTTAGTCTCAATGTACTTGTTCTTCAAAGACCACAGAGACCCCACATTCCCTGAACCTGCTACCTCACTTAAGTCCCTGGCCTTTAACTTCAACCACTCTTATAAGCAGAACCTCTTGTAACACTACTGTTTGCAACTTAAGAGCAAGACAGAGCTCTGCGGAGACCTCTCTGGGCATGAGAGACTCTGAGACACCAGGGTTAGGGGTCTATATAGGTTTTAGGGCTGGGGCTTGAGAACGAAGGAATTAAATCTTACTGGGAATGCAGGGAAAGTGGACTTGGCTATAGTCCATTCATTGTTGCTAGCTGTGAGCGCCTGTCAGCAGCAGCTTGGTCATTGTGCGGGGTCGTGACCATCTCCAAGGTGAACATCCCATCCAGGCCGTGTGCCCCCAGCTCGTTTGAACCGGTCTGGCCTCGAGGTGTGTGACTCTTCTTTTGGGTCTGTAATTCCCTTCTCTTCCCATAGCAGCCAACTTGATAAGCTGGGGAAAGATAGCTGAGGATTCGACAAAAATTTGTAACAAATACAATGGGCCAAGGAAATTTATGGCAGCAGATGCCCCGACTAGAGTCTGTTGTTTGTTTTTTTTTAACCTCTTGTTTACCAGACTATGGGAAAAGCAAAATTTTTGTCCTTAAGCCCGGTCCTTGTCCGGGAACGCTTCCTGCCTCACTCCCCCGAGAGTTCTTTCATCCTCTTTCTTCGTGAAATGGCCGTCAAGCTTCTATAGCCATTTCCTCTAAAGGTGACGGTAGTCCCTGCCTGTGAGAGGAATGAAAATCCCCCTCAAGTGAGAAAGCTCCAAGAGTGCCGACCTTCTGCCTTTGGGGCTGGTAGGTGGACTGTGAAAGGAGAGAAATCAAGAGTAGGCCAAAAGAGTCCATATTTTGTTGTTGTTGTGTTTAAAGATTGATTTATTTACGCATACAAGAACTGGGGTACCGGTCAATATTTTGGATGGTGGGGAGGTGTTGGTAATTAGGTGGTCCGGAAGGGAGGGTTTGTTTGCAGGGGCGTGGCCTACTCTGAGGCCCCGGGCAAGGGTTCGATTAGGGAGGCAGGGAGAGAGGCCATGGCGGTGCAGGTAGACCTGGAAGGGTTCTGGAAGGGTTTTGGGGCCAAGGTAGGGGTTGGAAGGCCTGTGAGGCTCGTCTGTACCACGGCCTTTGCCTCCCGGCGCGCCCCGTTGGCTCGAGGCTCGAGGGCCCGGGGGACCCCGCGGCAGATGAGGCTCGCGCCGCGCGCTGACCCCCTAACCCCGTAGCCTAAGGTCTGGAGCGCCCCGCGCCTCTCTCCGGGTAGGCGGCCCACCGCGGACGGCGCACGCGCTCTCCACGGAGCCGCGGAGGTGGGAACCGCCGACAGGGGGCGCGGGCGCTCTGGCCGGACACCCGGGGCGGGGCGCCCGCTGGGAAGGCGTCGGGAGCGGCGGCCTCGGCGGGAGAGTCGGCTGCGCTCCAGGCCGCGGCCAGTGGGCGGGGCCGGGGCGGGGCGGGGCGAGGCGGGGCCGGAAGGAAGTGGTTCCGGGTCCCGCGGCCCGCCCGAGCGGCCGTGGTGCCTGGGCTGTGGGAGGCGGCGGCCGGGTGAGGGGCGAGGCCGAGGGGCCGGCGGCGGCGGCGGCGGCGGCGGCGGCGGCGGCTGCGGAGCCTTCTCTGCCGGGTGAGGAGCTCCTCGGGGCGGTGCGGCGAGGAGGCCCGGGCCGGTGGGGAGGGCGTGTCCGCCGCCCGGGAGGGGCGGTTCTTGGGGTGGCGGTTGGGGTGGCGGTGCGGTTGCGGCCCCCAGGCTCCGGGTCCCGGGTTCCGATCCCGGCCGCTGAGCGCCTCTGGCCGCTGGGCCGGTCTCTTCTCCCGCGCGGCAGCCTGGGCACCTGCTGTCGCGGCCCCGGTGCTTCCCGGTCGTCCAACGACTGCGGCTCGGGTGGTTCGGAGCGTCTACCTTGGGGACCGCGGGGGGCGGTGTCCGGGGACCCTTGTCGCTCAACGGTCTCCGGGCGTGTTGCCTGCGGGACCCGAGCCTGGGAGCGCTGGCTTTGTCCTCCGGCGGTTCTGCCGCGCAGCGGCATCTTCCTCTGCTGGCGACCAGAATGAGCCGCGCAGGCTGCTCTTTATCTTGCAAGGCAAAGTAAAACTTGCCTTTTAAGAAACGTGTACTGAAAATTGGCGCATCCCTTGTGCTTCTGTCGGTTGTGTTAGGAAATTGGGTCAGTTTCTGGCAGGATTGTCCTGTCGGTAGGTCGGGGAGGGAAAGAAAGGGCAGAGAAACTCACTCCCCCAAATATTTTCCTGCCGCTGTGCTTTTCGAACCGCCTCGTAAGTGATTGCTTTTCTTTCCTGGAACTACAGGTAGAAATCAGAAAGGCTCCTGGTCACAAAACCGTCTTACCATTTTCGGAATGGGAGAAAACCGAAAATTTGAACTGGTTTTGCTGTGTGTTCATGTATAAGTGCTTTATTTTTGCAGTGGTGTTTTACTAGTAATGCTATGGTGCGGTTTGATGTTTCAATGGTATTCTTTTAAATGGCTGCTAGAAATTTCTTTTGAAAGCCTGGCTGTTCCTCCACCCCCCCCCCCCCCCCCCCGCCCCCCCCCCGCTTTAAGTGTCTTAATCAAAAACATTTGTACATGGAAATATTTCGACTCACCCCAATATAGAAAATTTCCAAAATATATAAAGCCACAATGAAGAAAATACTACCATTCCAAGTGACCATTGTGAATTTGGTTACACTCCCTTTACAGTCTTTTTCAATGTAGCAATGAATGCTTGGTTTTTCAATAGTGGATTCTCTTTTGTAACCTTTTTTTTTTCTGACTGCATAGCTTGCCACTATATTGCTTTAGTAATTTATTTAGTTGGTTATTTCCAGTTTTTCACAACTTCAACACATTGTTGGAGAAATGTAAAATCTGCGCATCCATGATTACTTCCTTAGTGTACATTCCTAGATGATTGAATTGTTGGGCAGAGTATGCACATAAGGGGTTTGTTTTTTTAAATGTAAATTACTCAATTTCCCTCTGGAAAGGGGGTGCTATTTTGCACTCCCACCAACAATCTGTGCATGTCCTTTCTTACATCCTAGCAAAAGACAACATTTAAAGGATTTCTATAGGAGCACTTTTAGGCCATTTATGTTCTAACCTCCTACCAAATACAGGTATCCTTTTCTAGCTATCATTTTTTTTTCCTTACTTGTTGAGAGCAATTCAGTTTCTCATGTCTCATTCCACCTTTACTAGTTTAGTAAAGGAAGGTTATTAGGTGAAGCAAAGGCATCGTAGAGTGAACAGATTTTGAACTCAGCACTTCCTTGAACTCCAATATATCTGATTACTTTGAACGAGTCACATAACTTTTCTGAGGGATTTCCTGAACTCTGGATGAGGGATTATAGTGCATTTACAGATTGGGTTTAAGGTCAAGTGAGACATTTATGAAAAGTACATTTCAAGGGCCTCCCCGGTGGCGCAGCGGTTGAGCGCTGGGTTGCGAAGCTGCCCGCGGCCTCTGCGGCGCCGGTTCGATCCCCGGCTGCTCCCCGGCCACCAGAGGAGGGTCCCACATGGCGTGCAGACCTCTCCTGCCGCCCGCTGCTCCCCTCAGCAGTGTACTTCGGTCCTTCTGCCTGCTCTGCTCCCCGCTCTGGCTCTGGTGAATTCTCTCACCCTCCCGCGCTTCTGACTGTACCCAGTGCATGTATAAACAAAACAAACAAACAAACCAGCAAACAAATAAATAAAGCATGCCTCTATAAAAAAAAAAAAAAAAAAAAGTACATTTCAACATACTCTGTCTTGTTGCTAATTATTGTTGTAAAAATTCCAGAGCCCAAAAGCATGTTGATTTGCAAAGCAAATTTCTGAATTCAAAAAGCTATTCTGTGATAGATACCCTTTACCCCTGTGCACTTTCACTCCTTAAATACTGCTCCCCGCTCTAGATTATATCCAAAACGTTATCAGAATTATGAAATTAGGTGAGTGAATGAATCTGTACAAAAATTGGAGGAGTAAATCTCTAAATGCATTGTATATAAAGCTGAGGGGGACAGGATATAAAGCTAAATGAAACACAATCCTTGGGATTGTTACAGGGCAGGGAGAGGGGCAGCCCAAACCCTGCAAACCTGCCTGTTTTAAATGGGTTTTGTCATCCACCGCATTAACATATGAGACTTTAATGGGAAGGAACTTTAATACAATTAGGAAACAATACAGAAAGGCAAAGAATTTAGTTCTTAAATTAAGCACCCAAAGTTACCCGTCCCCTCGTGGGTAAAAGTCCACCCAAGCAGGATTGGCCCAGAGCAAGGTCTCGAAGCCTGTCACAGGTCTAAACATCTTCCAGTGGGGACCCACAGAAAGGGGTCAGAAACAACCAGACAAGCCCAGAAGGAAAAGAGCAAAATCAAAATTAAGATAAAAACCACTATTGTCACCTCCCCACGGGTCTCACCCACATCTGTCACCCAGTGTAACAGGGTGGTCCCCAGGAAAGGGGGAGGTTCCCTGCCCCACCCAAGGGAGGGTGGAGCTGAGCAGGGAGAGGAGAAGCTGCAGAAGAGACCGAGGAAGGAAGCAGGATGGAGCCAGGAGACCTGGAGGAGGCGCATGGAGCCTAGAGACACGTGAAGAAACTGCGCTTGTCTTTTGGTCGTGGACTGGGTGACACAGATGTGGGTGAGACCCGTGGGGAGGTGACAATGGCAACCTTTATCTTGATGCTGATTTTGCTCTTTTCCTTCCGGGCTTGTCTGGTTGTTTCTGACCCTTTGCTGTGGGTCCCCACTGGAAGGTGCTTTAGACTTGTGGCAGGCTTTGGGGCCTTGTTCTGGGCCAATCCCATATGGATGGACTTTTACCCACGAGGGGACGGGTCACTTTGGGTGCTTCATTTAGAAACTAGACTCTTTGCCTTTCCTGTATTGTTTCCTAGTTTTATTAAAGTTCCTTCCCATTAAAGTCTCATATGTTTTGTGTTGATACGGCGGATGGTAGAAACCATTTAGAATAGGCAGGTTTGCAGGGTTTGGGCTGCCCCTCTCCCTGCCCTGTAACAAGTCCACAACCAAAAGGCAAGTGCTGTTTCTTCACATGTCTCTCGGCTCCATGTGCCTCCACCAGGTCTCCTTTTGGCTCTGCATCCTGCTTCCTTCCTTCCTCAGTCTCCTCTGCAGGGTCTTCTCTCCTTGCTCAGCTCCACCCTCCATTTGGGTGGGGCAGGGAACCTGGAACCTCCCCCTTTCCTGGGGACCACCCTATTACTGGATCATGGTAAATAAAACATAGCATTTGTGCCCTATAGGCTACAAAATGTCCAGGCAGCTGAAGGATATAAAGCTGCGTTCCAAATTTCGAACCCAATTTTATTTTTATTTTTTAAAGATTTATTTATTTATGCAAACAAGAGCTGGGGCACAGGCCAGAGGCGTGGGGGGCGAGAGGACTCACCAGAGACAGAGTAGGGAGCAGAACAGGCAGACTGACTGACACTGCTGAGGGGAGCAGCGGGCAAGACAGGAGAGGTCTGCTGAGGCATGTGGGTTGCTCCCTGGCCAGGGATCGAACTCGTGCTGCAGAGGCTGCAGACAGCCTCATATTGCTGCATCTGTTAACAAATCCCTTGTGCCACCAGGGAGGCCCCTGGGGCGCAATTTTAGATGTGATGCAGGACTGTCAACTTTGCTAGGGAGTGCTAAAGTCCTCTTTTGCTGACCAAGCATCTGTACAAATGACCAGGCAGTCTCTTCAGGGTCATCTTTCTGAGGGTAGGAGTTGCAAGGTGGGGAAATGATAGTATTGAAGTATAAGAACCTGGATTCTAGTTTCAGGCCCTTCAGGGTGGATTGGTTTCTTTCTGAGGCGTGGTTTCTTTACCTAGGAAATGAAGGTATTTCCAGCTTCTTCAAAGGCTTGTTGGTAGTAGGGGGTATAGTTCAAGGGTAGAGCATTTGACTGCAAATGCTTGTAGTAATGATTAAATGAGATAGTGTTTGCAGCACCCACAGTAAACCAGAACGTACTGGTTGCACTTGTGATCATTCTTATTCACTGAAGACTTTGTTCCTCCAGGTAAGACCCTAAAGCTCTTCCAGCCTTGTATCCTTCACCCCTACCAGTCACGGGCACTTAGTAATGTTTTCTAAATTAGCAGAAAATGTGACCACTGATAAAAAAATCCAATTTGGTCCAGTGCGGAATATTGGGAGAATTTGACTGCGTTATTTGGAGTTAATATCAAGGAACCAAAGGAAACATTGACTAAGTGGACCGAGGCTCATCTCACTCTGACTGTCATTCAGTTTATATCCTCACTCTCGGCCACACCGTCCCTTCAGAGCAACAATAAATCTATTCAAGTTGCTCCCATTTCAAAGCCTCCTCCCTAGTCCCTTATCACCCAGCCCGACCCAGATTCTCTCCTCCCCTCCCAGCCAGAATGCTTGAAGGAGTTGTTAATAATTGGCTTTCTCAGTGTCTTCACCTTCCACGTAGTCTCAAGCCCTGTGTTTACACTTTTCATCCCCTTTGTTGGGTCTCTGTGGTGTTTACCATGAAAGTCTCCTTTCTGGAAACATCTTTCTTCAGCTTCTGAGACTCTGTGATCGAGCTCCCTCCTCCTTCACAAGATGTTCCTTCTCAGTCTCCTTTGCTGGCTC